CCCTTAGCCAGTAGCACCAATGAAGGTCGGCACGGCCTATACGAGGGGGTAGGTGGCCAGCACCACGCCCGGCCGCCTTTGTCTCCCCAGTGGCGGGTGATGTTTACACACCGCACCGGGTACTCATTTCTATATCTGTACGCACACACACACCAGCCATTCAGTGTGGACATCATGGTGAGACATCAGCTTTGAGATATACACGGTCATGTCACACAAGTCAAATCGTTAACTGCTCTTGCGGTTTCAAATATTATTAATACACCTGTGAACATTTTAGGTTTCTGTCCAAAAAAACTAAATAAACTAACCCAATTGTATGGAGATTCTCGGGGTGATATCCAGTACAGTTATTTTTTTAATAAATTTGCTTCTGAGATTTAGATTAGTACGCATGTTTTACCCAGGAAAACCTCACAGAATCTCATTACTTGCTATGACCTTGCCAAACTTTCTCAGTAGGGGGCGATGATTGACGGACACTCACTCCCTCGTGACCATTCCAAGAGGGAAAACTCAGGGCTGGTACCGGAACGTTCCCTTTGAGCATCAATCGCACGTTTTTAATATCCTTATAATACGAACAATATTACTATTCCACATTGACCTTCTATATCTAGCCATGCAATAAATTACTTTTTTTTTATTTAACTAGGTAAGACCTACATGAGCTGTGTAGCTCTTTTTTCAGAAGCGACCTGGTCACAAATGATGGCTCAACAAAATTTTTGTCACGTGGAAATGCATAGCAGCCAAATAGTTTAAACGCGTGTTTCTAAATGTGGAGGGGAAACCCGGAGGACCTCGAGAAAAATACAACGATTACGGGGAGAGAGACACGCAAACTCCAAATATAAGAGCAGGCGTTAGGGTCAGGATCAAACCCACGACCTCCTGCATACCAGGCGAGGGAGTTAACATCTCGCCACCGTGGCACCCCTTGTATGTTCAGGCCATGCTGCAGGATCACCCCTTGGACAAGCGAGAATGCTGTAACTAAGCTCCATTGTGATAATTGTTTTTTTATCCTTCCATCTGGCAACAAAACTGACACCTTTTTTACAAGGAGTCATGTTTGCATAGACCACAATACCTGCAGTCATAATGCAAACAAAAAACATAACTCTGATAATGTGCACTGTCCTTGAAGTTGATTGGTCCACACCTGAGACAGCTTTCCTTAGAGCCTAGTCTCACATGGGTTGGACCAGATAACGCCAAAAGGCTCCATTGTGTCTGAGGCTGTATATACTGTACGGTTTATTTTCAACCGTACGTTCAGGGCACACCTCGTTGGTAAACACAGCCGCAAGAGAATGATGAACAATGGCCTCCCTCAAGGATCGAGACTAGTGTAGTGACACCCGACAGAGTAGCCTTCGACAGTCGGAGTTTTTATTTCTTCCGGCACGAGACACGGTCATCTTCCCTGTTCTCCAAGCCTACCGATCTCTCGCGTTTCCCCACTTAAATATCCCTCAAACGCCCCTTTTCTCGAAGGTTCCTTAATCCACTTTCCCTCCTGCCAATCACCTTCCTACTTTCCATAACCGATGCCAAACGACCTCCCTGTCAATCTCGAAGGTTCCTTGATCCATTATCTCTCCTGCCAATCACCTTACCACTTTCCATAACCGATGCCAACCAACCTCCCTGTCAATCTCGAAGGTTCCTTAATCCTCTTTCCCTCCTGCCAATCACCTTACCACTTTCCATAACCGATGCCAACCGACCTCCCTGTCAATAATCCTCCGTTTCCCACTCTTTCCGTGTTGCATTTCTACCTCCAAATCCCTTCGATATTCCTGCCTCTCACCCCAAACCGCCCGGCGACCGACTCAGGTGGTAAGCAGGCTATGAAAACTGGCATCGGGAGAGGCGAGGAGAAAAGACAGAAAAAAATCAACACATCACTGGAGCTGACACTGCATTAACTTACAATGGCTGTGGCAAGGATTGTCACTCAATAATTGGCCTACTAAGTCATTCTAGGCGCTGCAAACCCCACAGCTGACCTCGTAAGGCGCGCAAAATAATTGTCACACAAGCCTATATAACCCCAATCCCCTTATAGGCCCGTTAGGAACCCATAAGAGGGCTTGTTTTACGTCACGATTATCCGTGTCACGCGGTGTCCGCTGCGTCAGGTGAATATTCTCCGTAGCGATATAATCTCTACACTAGCGTGTACATCATCTCGGCAGTTCATATATCCCGATGTCATAGCCCTTTGCTGCACAGCGCACAAACCTCGAGAACACTGCAAATACTCGTAGCAGCTAATGCAACGTTATTGGAGGCATATTTCCGTCGCTTGGAGACTCCGATCATACCCACAACACGCGATTTCCTACTTGAATAAATAATTATGCAGCAGATGCCACCCTCTGATGTGTCCTTCTGTGCTAAGCCCAGTGTGCTATGATCCCACTCCAAGTTATCTCGCGGTAAGCATGGCCAGAAGCCTGGCATTACAAGCCCACCCACACGAAATATATTTGTGGAAAGACCCAAATCAAGAATGATCCTGCTACAGAAACGACCTGTGGTGCCCCTCCGGTGATGTGCTGTGAACAGAAGCCCTCTCTCACCCATCTACTTAAGCGACGGTCACTGCATTCCAGCCTGGTCCGATAGGATAGATACCATGTAAACTCACACGGTTTACCCGTATTCTTGTACGGGGAAATCGAGTGTTCAGGTCCATACTGCGTACAGCCGTTTCAATACTAGCAAATGTCTTTGTCTATGTGTTTGTGTTTCTCCCTTTGGATGGGACTTTATAGGATGAACGTTGAGATGTATAAGGGGTACGGGGTGATCAATAAGGTCTGAATTGGTCTGTAAGAAGTTGGGCACTCATAAGGGGTTGACAGGTGTGCGATAGATCGTGAAAACAACTGCCAGATGCACAGTTAAATAACGCGATGCGAGCACCATAACCAAACAACAGAGCCCAGGGCAACTGGCACCACGGTGGCGAGATGATAACTACAGCACCACGCATGGTTTCGGTATTATCAACCAGGATCTCAACAATGTTCCTCGCATACCTGTCAACCCATACGGTTTACCCCGTATTATGGTACAGGGAAATTGAGTTTTCGGGTCCATACGGCGTCCAGCCGTTTCAATACGGGCACACCAAAAAAACATTTCTATTTTTCGATTTAAAGCTTTCGTGACTGCAGGGATTCATCTTCTTGGTTCTTCCGGTAAAGTCACGTAGAATGGAAATAATGAAATAATAAAAATAAAACATAATAAAATAATTATCACGATGTTTCGGCCACAACTCTGTCCTCTCGACAGACCTGTTCTCCACCTGAGGACGGCTGCTTGCGTTGTGGCCGAAACGTCGTGAGAATTATTTTATTGTTTTATTTTTATTACTTTATTATTTCCATTCTACGTGACTTTACCGAAAGAACCAAGAAGATGAAACATTTCTATTTGTGTTTCTGCCTTGTGCTGTGACTTTGTAGGATGAACGTTGAGATTTATCCGGGCATGGGGTGATCAATAAGGTCTGAATTGGTCTGTAATAAGGTCGGGCACCGATAAGGAGTTGACATTCTATTGCTGGGATCACTGCTGCTGCTGCTGATGTCACCACGCTCGAATCGCACCCAGATCCTGAAGAACGCTGACGAACAGAGATGGACATTGGGGGAGATTTGTTCCAAGACAGCGAACGATTGCAATTGTCGTGGCCCTTGGGTTGCTGTGCAAGACAATCAATTGATTCGAGAGGATTGATGGGTGTCTATGTATGCCCAAGGTCGTTGTCATGGTTCTTGTGTTGCTGCACGTTGAATTTCTTTCGCACCGTACGTTGCCAACCGTGCCAATTGGAGGTGCGAGGGAGGGAAGGACAACTACACGCGCAGAAGCGGTTACAAACAAATGAGTTTTCATTTCGGGTCTGGGCTATAGGGGCCGTCCATAAATGACGTCACGCAACTAACGGGGGGCGGGTCAGACATTTGTGACGATGTGTGACAAGGGGGGGGGGGGGGGGTTGAGAAATGTGACGTCACATCAAAATGCGCAACTTTAAATAAATATAGACAACACGTTCTACTTAATTAAATATACTTTTAAATAAATGTTTTCTCCTACAACATCTGAGTGCAGCGGCACATTAAATACGCACTACAATGACAAAAGTTTAAAGCGATTTGAAGCATGTTTTATATTCAAAATGGAAATATGGTTTGGGGGGGGGGGCAGAGCTTTGTGACGTCATATTTGAGGTGGGGGGGGGGTCTGCCTTTTTGTGACGCCGTGTGACGAGAGGGGGGGGGGGTAAAAAATCGTCCAAAATCGCGTGACGTCATTTATGGACGGCCCCTTATACAACTGGTCCACGTTGCACATCTGTGGGGACGGCCTCCCCAGATCGTGGGTGTGTGGGGGGGGGGGGTTAATTGACCATACTTCACCACGCTGGTCAGGGGGGGGGGGGGGCTGGTTGAAGGCATCACAAGGTGTCTTGGCGGTTTGTCTCCGCTGTTTGCAGTGGGGGTCAAACCCAATGGCGTCTACGATCCTCCTCCTTAATTACTTCGCGCTCAACGCATCTCCGATTAAGTCACCGCAACGTGACGTCATCAGCCGCTCTGTCGACACGCGGTGACGTCACGCGCGACAGACAGCGGACAACCTTTTGTCCTCCTTGAGGTGACGTCATCCACGCGTTTGCCAAGGAGGCGTGACGTCACCGAGGCCGCCGCCGTCACCACCACCCCGGCGCCGCTCGCCTCGACGTAACGATGAAACAAACATTCTTGTGACGTAATCGTTCACCCGCGGGATGACGTAGCAGCCAAGTGACGTCACCGCGTCGTTACCGACAACTGTCATCGCGCGCGTTGACGTCATCTCCGCCGGCGGGACCGACCAATCACAGCAGCGGTGCCGCGGCTGGAGCCGGAAGTCGCGCCGACCGGTCACGTGGCGCGTGACGTCACCGCTGCCAGCGAACGCGGAAGAAGGCAATGGCGGCGGGCGGCGGTGGAGGCGGTGGCGGCGGTGGAGGGGCGGGAAGCTGGCGGCGCGTCGCTCTTGCGATGGCTGGACGTGCTCGAGAAGGAGTTCGACAAGGCGTTCGTGGACGTGGACCTGCTGCTGGGCGAGGTGGACCCGGACCAGGCGGAGATCACGTACGAGGGCCGCCAGAAGATGACGACGCTGAGCGCTTGCTTCGCTCAGCTGTGCCACAAGGCGCAGTCCGTGTTCCAGCTCAACACCAAACTCGAGGTGGTTGGCAGTGGCGGCGTCCTCCCCCCCCCCTACTGCCTCGTCTCTTCCCCTCCTCCTCCTTCTCTGCAAGCACGGCATAGCGCCCGCGTGGTTACCTACTTGCCACGGCACCGCGACAACGCGTGTTGCCGCACTGCTGCATGGCCAACCGTGCTAGGTTGGCTGGGAATGTAATGCGCACTGCCTGGGTTCAAGAGTCAGGGATTTTCCGATTTCTCCACCACGTCTTCACCCTCTGCCCGACTTCCGTAGGTTGTCATCTTGCAGAGACTAATCGGGGCATGGCTTGTCCTCGAGACAACGCGCTGCGAGACCAGGCTTTCCTGGTCCCGCAACTGAGACCTTTTAATAGCCCCCTAATCAGACTGGCCATGCCTGGCCCCCCTCTATGGGACGTGCATTTTCTATCCCTCCAGAGACGAGACTTTACTATCTGCCCGCTCAGGCAGAGATTTAACATTTCGTACCCACCCACCCTTCAAGAAAGTTTCGTTTCCGAGATATCCACGTGGAGGTTAGCTGCCCCTCGCCTTTTTTAGGCAACTTTCCAGTTAATACTTGCATTGTCTTTGGACTGTTCGCCTTTTGGCGATCTCTGGTCTGACACTTGTGAGACAACGCCATAAAGAATGCCGTCCCTGGTGTTTACCAATCCATTTAAAATATCACGTGTATATTATCAGAGCTTGTTTGCATGTTCACCACATGCACGTGTGGTTCATGCAGACCTGATTCCTTGCAAAATGCGTCTATTTGGTGTTTGAAAATATTAACACCTGTTTTATTAGCCAGTATGTCCTTCCATGTGTGCTGACTTAACCTCCACACTGCGTGATAATCATTGCAGTACAGTATTAAATGCGTTTGTCGGCAGCTTTTGCCACGGGAGTCACTTTGGACTTAACGGGGATCTATGCCATGGCATTTCTTTAGTGGAAGTAAATTGCTTCAAATGGGCTTTAAATTCCCGGCAGCGTGGTTGCTCTGGCTTGTCTGGTGTGTGTGTGTTTTGTCATTGTTACTGTGACCGGCATCGGTCATGGAATAAACTTTGTGGTCCTTTCAGGCTGGGGTTGGAGCGCTGTCCCAGTGGTTCATGCATTGTGCCATGAACCCAGCCATATTAGTTTGATTCCCGGTTTCACCTAAGACCAGTGGCCAGTGAACCGTTCCCCTTTTCTAACTCGCACTGACTAATCTGATGAAGTATAGATAGAAGTCACTGTGACCGAAAATGCATCCAACAGTGGATTGTATAAGGTCTGTGTACATGACCTTAAATGCTCCATGCCACTGACCGTTAATAGGACTTCCTTATAGGAATCTCTGCGTTGTTTTGATACATTTGCGTGCCCGTGTGCAGTGGATATGTTAGGGCTACTCGGCGTTCAGTCATACTGTGTGAACGAAGTTTGTGCAGTGAGGAATGATTTGTTGAATGACTCCTTCATTCATTATAATAAGAAGCAACCCAAAAAAAGAGATAATATTTGAAAGGGGCATACCCAGACTGCATGTCTCAGGAGATTCGATGTTAGTTTGTAGCTTCGTTAATGAGATTGGAAATTTCTAATGAGTGACATAATTGCCCACTTAATCATGGTCATTATTTCACTCTCTTAATATTATTTTGACATTACTCGCAAACCTTTTCTTGGATTTATCTTTTTTCGATTCGTCAATATCAATCCGCAAAGCATCGGGTTACAGTCCATGATTTTATTGTTCAAATGTTATGCAAATATTGCATTGAGGCTAACAGAGTGAACAAAAATACACAAATGAGATGGGAAAAATGCGTGGCTCTACATCGTTAAAAGTCATAAAATGTGTTATCAAAATGTCTCACGTGGTTATACAAGCGTGTATTTTAAATCTCTTATAAGGCAACTTAACATGTTTGAGTAACTTGGGCAATGTGGCTCGCCTCCACCTTGGTTGACCCTGACTACCAGCTTACCTATGCTGGAGAACCGTGTGCGCTGAGGAGGTGGCCATTTGCCTATCCATAGGCCGCTTGCGTGCATGAGATAGACTACTACAGTAGTATGTCGAGACATGGGGGTTAGGAGTGGAGTTAGCTTGCAGGCTCTACGAAGATGGACCCTAGAGGTTTCCTGCCAAAGGGTGGATGCTACTGCTCGCTGTCCCTGCGTATGCTCCCATGCTTGGCTTGATCAATGTTTGCGCTGCGTCGTTAACGTGGTTCTCGTTTGGTGGACATGCAGGCCCAGCTGATTGGGCTGCGCTCCGAACTGAGCGAGGCGATGGCATCCAAGGTGGTGCTGGATAAGGAGCTGAGGGATCAGCTGCTCCAGCTGCATGCCGTGCAGTTACAGCTACACGCCCATTCGGGGCAGAGCGTCGACTCAAGCAACATCAAGGCCAAGCTGGTGAGGCCTGTCACGGGCACACTAAAGCCATTCAGCGCCATTCTTCCCTCCACAAGGTCCACGCACTTGTGCACCCTTGCGTCCCTGCCTGCATCCTGCACCTTGCCTTGTATCCCTGCCTGCATCCCTGCTTACACCATGCATGCACCTTACCTTGCCTGCACCCTGTAGCTCGCTCTACGTCCATGCTTGCACCCTGCATTTCACCATGTATCGCTGCCTAAAGCGTGCAACTCAGTCGGCATCCCTGCCTACACACTGCGCCTCAATCTGCATCCCTGCCTGTATGTGTTACCTCTCTCGGCATCCCTTCCTACCCTCCATATCCCTACAGGCACCCTGCAACTTTAACCCTGAAAGTTTTCATCATGAACAGAATTACACAGTCCAATCCAGGTTTTATTGTGTTCCATGTACAGAATGCATTTCCAGTTTGTTGGAGAAATGTGTAAAGATAGTGAAAAAAAACACTAAACAAATAGATGTTATCTTTTAGTTATGTATCTAGGCTGTGTGCCGCAGGCTGTGCCAACATTACTTCGGTCGATGCCTCATTATTGAGAACGGAATATATAGAGTTACGGTCAGTCACTATTATGACATCACTGCAGTGTTATATTTTATGGTACAGGAGTGATGCTACAGTGATATCACTAGTGTGCTCCAGGTCTTGACTTCAAATGCTGTTTTTTACAGTAACTGTTCTTCAAATTCTTGTCGGCCAGCATTATGCACAGCTTAGGTACGAAGCTACAAGATAAGAGCTGGAGCTTTTTAGGTTGCAACACCCCTCAATCGAGTCTTTTGGATGGTTACATTCTCCTTAACCCTTTCTCGTTCCGATGATGTACGTGTACGTCATAGGTTTTTCTTTTTATTCGGAAGAAAAACTAAAATAAAATAATTTTATCGGTACGGAGGCTCCCCCAAGGCCATGCAGGAGGGCGTTCTTCACGGTTTGGCCCCAGCTATCATAGTGCACGTCTTTAAAAACAATGGTGCTATGCCTATTCTTAGGTTTTTTTTGGTCAAGTCACGTAGGTAAAACATCAAAATTAATAAAATAAAATGAAGATCACGACGTTTCGGAGGCAACACAAGTCTCCGTCATCAGGTGGGACCGTCACAGCCAGAATAGCTGCATCAAGTGAGGCAATGATTCAAGATGTAATCCCTTAAAAGCGAGTTGAGGGGGGAGGAGAGGGGGGGGGGAGCTCATCAGAATGTGGTAGCCAATGAATGGAACGTATCGGGAGGGAGGGGGGCGGGGATGACGGAGACTTGTGTTGCCTCCGAAACGTCGTGATCTTTATTTTATTTTTATTAATTTTGATGTTTTACCTACGTGACTTTACCGAAAAAACCTAAGAATATTAATCCTTGCAGTCACGAAAGCTTCAAATCTAGAATTGGTGCTAGTGCCTCTTAATAAAATTAACGCTCAACCGCTTGCTCGTTCCGAGATTCAGCAGTGAACGGGACTCGCCCTGCAACTTCAAGTCATCTAGGAACGGGAAAGGGTTAAGAGGTCTGATTCCTGTTGCTCTTCAAATCGTCTTCATCAGTTTATTGTGATTTCTACTACACTTGCCCATCTTACAGAACCAACCAGTGCTTGCGTTTAAACGAATTGCGTCATCCATATGTAGCATAATTGTACTGTGTTGCATGGCATGGTGATAGTGCTTCTATAATGCATGCCCAATGCAATGCAATATCAGCAAGTGCTAAAAGTCAAGTGAAAACTTAACAAATACAAATGCATCCTACCCTGCCCATGGCTCATTAAAGTTGTTAATTACTTAAGCAAGCTGGGGTGCATAGAAGTGAAATAACATTGGAATTAATTATGCGTTCCTCTTTCAAATGTGCCAAACGTGTTAGTGACAATCACATACCATGTGGGCATGCTTAAGGAGTCATGTACTGCATGGATTTGCATGGAAGTTAGTTACAAGGCCAGCCTCTGTTCTCACTTGCAAAAGCTAGTGCCTGGCAAATTCCACTCTAACGTAACCTGTCTGTCCACTTCGAATGTTATTTTCCCTATGGCAAAAATATTCTCGTGAAAAATGTCACACTGACATTCTGTGTTTCCCCCCCCCCCCCTGGCACTTGTAATGGTGATGATATTGATTGAGTTGAAAATGGTGAGGGTGGTGAGTCCTGTGAGGTGTCATCTCTCAATGTGCTTCTTCTAACCTTTCTGACACTGTCTTTTCCTAAAGTCTGTCCCCTCTTTGGAGATGATGGTGAGTTCATTTTCACTCTGAACAACTTTCAGCAGTTTCACTCATTCACAAAAGGGAGTAATTACGCAATAGAAATTATACTTAAACATGTTATATACAAAAGTGAAACAATCGTGACATCCTTATTCTCATCTATTTTCAGAAAAATATCTCAGTTTTTTTTCTCTCAATGAACAATTTTTCTACCACCAAACCTTGCTGATGTTTTCTACTCTGTACTATAACCCCTCAGCTGCTACATGGTATAGACACGCGACCTCCAAGATCCTCCCATCGTTGTTATAGAGGTCGCATGTAGCTTGCTATATATAAGACTAACAATAATAAGAACAAGGTGGATAACAGACATGGGATAATGGTTAACTGTGGTCCTTACCATTTCACAGTGCAATGTCAGTACCTCTGAGCACCATTATTTGTAAATAACATAGATGGGGTCGAGGGAGGGGTGGCATCAGCTGGTCATTCCCCCCCTTGAAACCACCCCACCAATCACAGGCGCTGCCTTTTCTAAGGGCACCCTCATTTGCTAGCCGTGTTTTTTTCCCCCATGACATTCGCGACCTCCGACTGACCTTTTGCAGGGCACTCACTTCCTGACATCTCTCAACATTCTTGAACTCGTGCACGTGCAGAGCGATAGCCCGTGCTCGGAGTCGGTCATTTGGTAAATTAATAAATGGCTGTTGGATTCACCAAAAGTCATTATCATGCCCTTTATTTACCACGAAATTGCCTCTGAGTCTCGAGTCTTTTTCATGAGGATCCTGCATTGCGATGTTTGGCTTATTCCACTAATGAGTGGTCGGCATGTGGCCGGAAACCGGAGCACCCGGAGAAAGCCCGCGCGTACAAGGATAACACTCATCGTTCTGCATGCTGCTTCACAAATCCATCGCGGCTTGGCCGATTGGTAGCCCAAGCCTACAGCGTCTTCTATAGCCAGGAAATCTCCCATCCGATGACTAATTACACTGTAACAATTTCTTTTTGGTAGTAAGTGTTATTTCCTTATTGCTTATGCCTCAAAAGTACAGAATTACTATTATTCCCCACAAACTTTGCTTTTGTGCCCAGGACAGTGAAATTTTGAAATTTAACTATTTTCAATGAGAAAACGGGTGAATTTGTGTCTTTTCATTCACATAAAGTCAGAAAAAAAAAACATGAATCAAAATTTACGTGTATTTATACTAAAGTAATACACTAATTACTACAAAAGATTTAGACACCAAGGCGCACTACCACAGGCGGGACTGGCCACAACGGTCCGAGTTTTCTGTGGGGAGGAACAACGTCAAGTGGGAGCCACTGGTGGACCCCCGGAAGGTGATAATGCCACCACTGCACATCAAATTGGGCCTTATGAAACAATTTGTCAGAGCTGTAGATAAGGAGTCGGCAGCCTTCAAGTACCTTCAAGACTTCTTCCCTAAGCTGTCTGAGGCAAAGGTCAAAGCCGGTGTCTTCGTCGGACCACAGATAAAGAAGATCCTGGAGTGCAATGAATTCCCCAAGAAGCTCACTAGTAAGGAGAAAGCAGCTTGGAACAGCTTTGTCGCAGTGGTTCGTGGCTTCCTGGGCAATCACAAGGTCAAACTATGTGGAGCTGGTTGATACTGGTGAAGAACTACGGCACAATGGGCTGTAGGATGTCCCTCACAGTCCATATCCTTGATGCTCATCTTGATAAATTCAAGGAGAACATGGTAGCGTACTCGGAGGAGCAAGGCGAGCGCTTCCACCAGGATATACTGGACTTTGAACGCCGCTACCAAGGACAGTCTAACGAGAACATGATGGGAGACTACATTTGGGGGCTGATTCTTGAAAGTGATTTGCTGTACAATCGTAAATCTCGAAAAACTACTCGCTTCTAAATCCTTTGTAGTCATTTTTTATTAATTTAGTATAAATATACGTTAATTTTTATTCATATGTTGTTTTTTCTGACGTTATGTGAACGAAAAGACACAAATTCGCCCGTTTCCTCATTAAAATAGGTACATTTCAAAATATCACTGTCCTGGTCACAAAAGCAAAGTTTGTGGGGAATAATAGCCATTTTCTATACTTTTTAGGCATAAGCATTAACGAAATAATACTTACTACCCAGGAACAAAAATTGTCTTGCATAGCATTATGCTTAACCCTGCTTAGTGTTAAAGGTTTAAAAATAGATCGAGTGGATTCAGTGTGCTTTAGTCATGAAGTAATGTGTCCCAAATCTGCATTTTAAGTTATTCATATGCCCTTGCTTCCTGCTGCAGATCTTTTGTGCATGTTTAGATATAAAAACAACGTTATGCTGTGTGTGCATTTGCTTGTGCACAACAAACGTGTAAGTGTGCAATACATTTGCATAGATGTCGAGTGTGGGAGTTTTGCTGACATGCCCCTAGGACAAGCTTTAAAGTAGGATGCATCTTTATTGTCTCCCACTAAGATTCAACTTTGGCATACATGCCGTGTGGAAGCCGAGGCAAAACATTACAGTTTCATCAATTCTCGCTCCATGCCGTAAAACGCACCATTGTTGAACTCCTAATGCTTGCGCCCTCACTCCCGCACACAGCTCCACGGTTCAATTTTACTTCAATATTTAAATTATCTTGTTGACTATAAAGAAACTTACCACCTGATACTGTATATATATATTTTTTTATGAGTTTATATGCACCACTGCCAACATAGTCCCGTAATATATTTTCCTTATTATTTTGAGTGGGTGAAGCTCTTAGTCCAGAAATCTCGGGGGTAATGAACGTATCACCCGTCAGCCAAATATCGCCTTCAACTTAATTTCATACAGCTCACCGCCACGTGGACACCCACCACTTAGAAATGTATTGGAAAGGATATTTAATCAATACTGTAATCATCTTGGCTGTTCCAATCGGGCACGACAGGGGAATATTTTCTACCTGGCAACACTGTGCTTCTAATTTTAGCAAGCTCAGTCATCTGCAAAGGTGAGCACTCATTGGTTTTTTTTGTTGAGTAACGCTGAGGTGTGTTAATGTGTGGACCACCTCAGGTTAATTGATAGTCATATTCTGTCCGTAGTAACTCTAAAAGGTTCCTCACCCCCTGCCCTACATCCAAGGCCCTGCACTAGCTAATTATTCACGCCCCACTCTTCCCCGTTATGTGCATGTATATTGAATTTTTCTAGCACCGTACGTAGCTAACCATTTAACATGTAGGCTTTTGCGACCAATATCATCCATAATAGAGGTTTTTTTGGGTTAGATCGCGTAAATATATAAATGTGTCATTAAAACCCTCCACCACCCGACACAGCCAATTAGTAATGGTTGTCACGTAAACAGAACGTGCCAATTCGTCACTAGTACAGCACACCGGTGTGTTGGAGAGCCAAGCCACAACATTTGCAATCTTTGGACAGCCAAGCTTGGCTCTCCAACACACCGATGTGCTGTACTAGTGACGAATTGGCATGTTCTGTTTACGTGACAACCCTTAATAGTTTGCTGTGTCGGGTGGTGGCGGGTTTTAACGACACAATCATATATCTATGCGATCTAACCCTAAAAACCTCTATTATGGTAGCTAACCATGCTAAACTCAACTTTTGTGAACGTGCGCTGTCCTGCTAACCGCCGCTCTATCCGATTCCCCCCCCCCACCTCCACCGTGCCCACCAGGAGAAGGAGTTGGAGAGCAACAAGCGTGCGGGCATGAAGGACGCAGTGTGGGAGAGCGAGGCGGTGCTGCTGCGGCGAGAGAATGACGATCTACGGCGCCACCTGTCAGTATTGCAGGGCGAGGTCTACGGCGCTCGCCTCGCCGCCAAGTACCTGGACAAGGAGCTGGCCGGCCGGTACGGAGTCTGTGGGAGCTTTGGTCTTCTTGTCCGTGGTCTCCAGAATTAAGTGGAAGAACTAACTTCGTGATAATGAGATTGGCTGTGTGATGCGGCATAGCGGAGAGAGAATTGGAAGTTCGAGAGAGAGAGAGAAGAGAGAGCGTGTTAGTTTTCGTCTTATTCTTTTTAGCCAGAAGTTGCATTTTGCATGTCGTCAGCTGGTTGTATATTTTATCTCCGTGTAGTTTTTTTAATGTACCTCCTGTGGCTTCTCGAGAATATTTACAAACCCTGCTGAGGCTTTAACTTATTCATTCTGCCTTGTGAGAGGCGCCTAAACTCCACGCTGTGGATGTTCTCATATTAGTTAATAAAATTACACCTCGAGGTGGCACAGGAGTCGTTGTACAGGCACCTACACTTGTATACACGTGGCGACTGTGCACGTGTTCTTTTTTGCCTGAATATTGGAAGAAAAAAAACGTGCTAATATCTCCATTGCCACCAATGAGGCAAATTGCCAAGGTGAGGTATGTCGGCTGTTTGTATCAAGATGAAGTCGAAGAACTTGCGCACATTAATGTATGCAGGTGTTCATTATCGCAATACGTCAGTAAATAAATGTGTGTGCTTACGCATATGTGTGTATTAATGCATACATGCATGTCTGTGAATATGCACGGCACATGCATTTGTATGCTGTATTGTGTGTTAGTGCATTCGTGCACATTGATATACGCATGCGTGAGTGTACATACCCGTGTTAAGTGATGCTTGTGTGTGCTCATTCGTATATGTGGTGCAGCGTGCAACAGATTCAGCTCATGGGTCAGAATCTGAAGGGTTCGGCTCATGACAAGCTGTGGAATCAGCTGGAGGCGGAGATCCATCTGCACCGTCACAAGACGGTCATAAGGGCCTGCCGTGGCCGTGCCAACCCCAAGCACATGCTACCCCAGCCGGCCGGACACGTGGGTTTGCACTGCTCACACACCCGCGTACACCCTGGCAGCATGTTGTGCTCATATGAACTGTGTGTGTATGTCTAGATTTTAAGTTTTCGTGACTGCAAGGATTTATACTCTTTGGTTTTTTCGGTAAAGTCACATGACTTTACCGAAAAAAACAAAGAGAGTGTGTGTATGTATTTTTAACTTATTTCGCACTGTACGTAGCCAACCGTGTTAATTGGAGGTGTGTGTGTGCGAGGGAGCGGGAGTGCAACGGTTAACGTTGCTGTGCTACGATTCCCGCTCACGGCCAACACCAGTGATGATTATCGGAACTGGTCCTGGGCCTTCCCTATGCTCGGCTCGGCCTCAAATGAGTACCTTGTGTGGTGTGCAAAGATCGACATCGGGGAGACAGAGGCGGCCATGTGTGGTGTTGGCCACCCACCGCCTCGTGTACCGTTCCGGCCTTCATAGGTGCTCGCTAACAGCACTTGCCCCAAAATTCTGTTAAGGCTACACGGGGGATCTTTGTCATTTTCTCTCATCATGTGTTGTACGAGTGGAAACCAGGCGTGTAGCGGATTACTGTCTTCCCAGAAAGTAAATAATTTGTCGCAGTACCAGGAAGCGATTCATTTAAATTCTATGTTTCTCATTTTTGATGTAGCGTGTGTTTTGTTTTGTCATTTGGCTATGTTTGCATACAATTTTCATAAGTAAATAATTCTTACACCCACAATTTTTAAGCTCGTATCAATTTAATCAGTGAATCGGTACATGCTTCGTGGAACCACATTACAGGTTGACCTCTACAATATTATATTATTGTTCTATGCTTAAAAACAACATGTGGAACATTGGTGCATTGGTTGGCTCATTGCTATACGTTTCTGATGTCTTGGGTTTTATACCTGGTAATGCATTTCACCAGTACAAATTGGTATCCAAACTTGGAATGGAGTCTTCATCTCGGTCAACTCAGCCTAAACAATTACTGGAGCTGTGTTTAATGCCAGCACTGGGCAAACAAGGGTGGCTAGTCGTGGTGCTGACCCTACCACCCACTCATGTGCCATGATAAGCTGAACATTTGCTGACCCAGTAGTCGTACTTCCTGTTCATGATACTATGCCACTGAATTGGGGATCATAGTCTTTTGTTCCACAACAGTAGCATTATTGTGGCAGAGGCATGCTTGCAGCACAAGAATGCTTACATGCTGCTTAACGAAAGCCACAACCAACATAAAACATAGCTGCAACTTTGTAAGCTAACAAACAGATAAGGGTCTGTTTCAACCAAATTTACATTAAATTAATTTAGAGTTAGGTCAGTCAGCCTCTGGGCCCGCTGTACCAATGCATTCCAGCAGCATTTGTCTTAAGCAGCCATACCCAGTACTGCTTTAAACTTTCTCAGTGCTTGCCAACAAATTATACTGGGTTGCTTGATGTTATGGCCAACAGCATTCCATAGAAATTGTAGAGCCAATTTAAATCAGTATAGCAGCATTATGCAACAATGTGTGCCATTTTGGTTATGGATAATAACATAATTAAAGACAGGTTTTTTTTCCATTATGTATAGATTGGCAAAAAATACTTTGTGTCCAAATACTTTCATACAAACGTACCTGTATATGTAAGCTGTGCATCGCAGGCCCTTCAACATGAGTCGACATCTTCATTCATAAAAGACTTTTAAGTCATGACCCCACAACCTTCTATCGCAACGAGAGCCTCATTATCCCGATTACTTTGCTACTTCATGACACCGATGCGTGTGGTTGTAGCTTTTAATTCTAGATTTGAAGCTTTCGTGACTGCATCGATTCATATTCTTAGATTTTTTCGGTAAAGTCACGTAGGTCACCTACGTGACTTTACCGAAAAAATCTAAGAATATGGTTGTAGCTTTGTCAACTCCCTGCAGGATGTTGACCACACCAATGCACCAGGTACTAATTTTAGTTTGAATTGATCTAGGGGAGGCTTATTCCAGGTGCAGATTCCAATTCTGACCTGTGATGTGCATGGCAAGTAATCAAAGCTAGAGTCCAGCGCAAAGATACATGTTAGGGTCATATGACAGTACGCCATCTTGTAGCTGTGAGCCGGAATTTGAGAACTGAATCAACAGTATTCTTTTATTTGCAGAAGCATAGTTCAAAATCTCTGTCGACTTGAATCAATATCGTAATAAAACACCACCCAAAAAGCAAATAGTTTTTGTAGATAGACTGTGCTGCAATCTTCGACATGCATTTAAAGCTCCGTTAATGAGATAAAAATGCTTCAAATTACTTCCAGGATCAATACTGTGATGCTGGAGTGAAATTACAGCAGCAATGCCACGGTAAATGCACAAGCGACAATGCAAATACAATTTGGATTTTTCTAGCGTCTAAATGCATCTCATGACGCTTTACAGACACACTTGCCGTATTTTGTAGATGGAGGCAGTCAGTGATAAGTAGAGCAAAAAAGGAAAATATTGAGCCTGGACTTGAACAGCAGAGATGGCTGTGGGAACGGTGTGCCACAATGTGAGTCCAACAGAGTAGAATTAAGTGACCTCCCACTGACATTTTGTAATGTCCCTAAAGCATGCCTGAAAGATACTTTATAGTATATTTTGTTCCTTTAATTAAGCTTGGACATATAGCGTAGATACTCGTCTCCAAGATGAGATGTATTATTGTGGCTGGGTTTGTCTCTAAGGAAGGCGAGAGCTTACAGCAGAATCAAGCGTTTTGTTGAAGGACACTAGTCAAGAGGTATGCAAACTTTTTCGAGTGCAGGCCACATTTGGAATTTCCTAGCTCCCCGCAGGCCATCAAGATCTCACACGTGGTGACATCACGTTTGACTGTTTGCGGCGAAACAGCGCGCCAAATTTTTCAGTGAACATTCACATTTCTCCGACGCTCGTGTGCCTGTCAAAACCACGCTGTAGGTTTGCAGAGCCCCCCCCCCCCCCCGCCATTGTCAGCAGCACACTCGCGGGCAGGGAGATTGGCGCACGCCTGAATGTCGCGCCGTGATCGTATGTGCTTCTGCCCGGCAGGAGCCGGAGACGCTGAGGAAGCAGCAGGGCGTTGGGCAGGTGAGGAAGGTGCTGCTCGTCAAGGCTGACGACGAGGGTCTGGGCATCTCCATCACCGTGAGTTATACAGCAGCAGCAGCAGAGCCACTTTGAACCCCAAGAGATTTGCTGTTTCATGCCAGAGAAATTGCCTGGCGGTCAGAGTTTCGGGCATTAACAGGAAACCATAAGAAGCTTAATGTAATTTAGTCTGCCTAGTCTAAGCCCTGGGAATATAATTTGAATACTAAACATCCTAAATGTGGCTTAGTTTGGCTCTGTGAGCTTTTGGTGTTAACTTTGTAGCTTAATATTAATAAATAATTGACGTTGCCTTATTTGCCTTTTTGTGAGCAGTTGTGTTACTTTGGGCATACATACATATATAGGAGGTTGCTGAACGTGTCCACTCTGTCTTTAATATCTAAAATATATAAACCAAAAGCAACAATTTAATAGTAATGTGAATTTGTCTTCATAAGTCCAGCATACTGATGATTTTCTCGAGATACTCAAAACTCGTTCACTTCATTGGGCTCTACCAACACTGGGTGCACGAATTGTCACAGAGCAGTAATTGCAGAGGTCGTGTCAGCTTGTGGAGATGCTCGCTAACAGCACCTGCCCCAACAACAGTCTTTTAAAGCCTACATTGTCTGTGGGGGGGGGGGGGGGGCATCTTTGTCCCGAATGAAGGGCGGCAAGGAACATGGCGTGCCCATTATCGTCTCCGAGATCCACCCGGGGCTGCCGGCCGAGCGCTGCGGTGGCCTCTACGTTGGCGACGCCATTCTCGCCGTCAACGGCATCAACCTCCGCGACACCAAGCACCACGAGGCGGTCGGCATCCTCTCCCAGCAGGTGGGGACCTGCCAGTGGGACGGACGTGTGTGTGCGCGCTTGTGTGCACGTATTTGTGTGTGTGATGGGGTGCTCGCTAACAGCACTTGCCCCAATATTCTGTTAAGGCTATACGAGGGATCTTTGGTGGGGAGTGGTAGTGTAGCGGTTCGCGTGCCGCGCTACGAATTCCTGCTCACGGCCAACACCAGTGGCGATTCTATGAACCAGTCTTGGGCTTCCTCTAGGTTGGCTCCGCCTTAAATGAGTACCTGGTAAGGATGTGTAAAAATTGCCACTAGGGAGACACGGGTGGTCGGGTGTGGTGCTGGCCACCCACTCCCTCGTGTGCCGTACCGGCCTTCATTGGTGGTTGACTAACAGCACTTTCCCCAGCAGTCTGTTGAAGGCTATATGGGAGATCTTTGTCTTTGGGGAAACAAAGGTGGCCATGGGTAGTCCAAGTGACACCACATCCTTGCTTGCCATTTGTAGGTGCTCGCTAATGGCACTTGCCCCAATGGTCTATGAAAGCTAAACAGGGGATCTTTGTATTTGTGTTTGAGCCTATAACTGCGTTCATGCATTATGGCCCCAGTGACCTTCAAAGGCCTTGGCCCAAAATTAACACCTGGAATGTTAACAAATCAACACGCATCTATCGGTTTCATCCTGATAGCAATTCATCGACATTTTAATTCATTAGCCTATGGGCTTTCTGGACAACTGTTTTACTGGCAGCATTTAATTATTCTGGCAAACTATGGCAATGGTGCAACTTTCTGAGTCTCATCAGGGTTTATACTGCTCTGCCCTCTAACATCAAGCAACCCAACAGCATTTCATATATATTCTTGGTTCTTTCGGTAAAGTCACGTAGAAGGGAAATAATAAAATAAAATAAATATAAAACAATACAAATTCTACGTGGCTTTACCGAAAGAATCAAGAATATGAATCCCTGTTGTCACGAAAGCTATAAATCAAAGCATTTCATATATCCATAAGGTTATTCCTGAAGCCGTCCACTGGCTCACCACCTTTGACAGATGCTCCAGCACTTCACTCTTTGCCTCCCCCACCCCTCTGACCACTCGCATGCCGAGCACAGGTGGGAGAGATCGAGTTTGAGGTGGTGTTCGTGGCGCCGGACGTGGACTCGGACGATGAAAACGCGGAGTACGAGGATGAAACAGGGCGGCGCTATCGCCTATACCTTGAGGACCTGGAGGAGCACAGCGTGGCCTCTAGCAAGACGGCCACGAGTGCTGGCTCCAAGTCGCCTACGCCCGGTAAGGAGCCACGACACCCACCGCCTACACCAGCACGGAGCGCGGCCAGATTGAGCGCCGTCAGTGGCGAAATGTTAACTACCTCGCTTGGTACGCAGGAGGTCGTGGGTTCGATCCCGAACCTGATGCCTGCTGTATATTTAGAGTTTGCGTGTCTCTCTCCCTGTCGTCGCGTGGAATTTTTTCCGAGTCCTCAGGTTTTTTTCCCTCCACATTTAGAAAGATGCGTTTAGAGTATTTAACTATCTAAATGCCCACGTGATAAGCCACTTCCTTGAGCTATCATTTTTGGTCAGGTCGCTTCTGAAAAAGAGCTCAGTGGGCCTTACCTGGTAAAAGAAAAATAGTTTTTCGTACATGTTTATGGTGTTGAAGGTTTTCGTGGCTCGATGTAATGAGAAATGCTCTTAGAAGCTACTCTTTCGAGATATCCTTGGCGAGCACTTCTCCTTTCTGCTTCCCGACGTTTTTTTGCCTCCCACTTTAGAGCCATCTTCAAGCAGTCTGCCGTAGCCTCCGAATAACACCGAATGTGCCACCGTAAGCACTTATCTCATGGCCATGCTGTCAGTAGCTGAGTACCCTGATTCTGCCATTTAATTTTATCCAATTAAACTGTCAGTGTTGTCTTGAAACGAAGTATCCATTCAGATTCCTCACAGAGCAAGACATCTATTTGTGCTTGAGAGCATTCGAGAGAAGTGCACACCACAGAGCTACCACTGAGATCCCTTTAAGTGACCTCTTGTCCACAAGGATTAGCGCTCTTATGCTCCGACTCACTCAGCCACAGAGAATAATGTTTGTTATATTTGCTTCTGGATTTGTGGGTGAACGCTATCACTCCTTGACCCCACACTCCCAGCTTCACCCAATCCCCACCTACGTTTACTCAGTCCGCCTGCAAGCTGAGTTGGTGGCAAAGTCAGTCCGCAGCGGTTGTCCTTTGCATAAACTTGTCCCGGTTATTAAGGTAGAATTTACACCAATGACTTTGAGTTACAAACAAATGACCAGCACTGCCTCACACTCTTTTGAGTGAGGATCCAGTTTTACTTATTTGACTGAAAGTAAACATTTCATGTTTTTATTCACTTGCTTCCTGAAAGACTCGAGGTGGTGGTGGTTGTTGTTTTTGTGGCAGATGTAACAGCGGTGGCCACCTCGGACGGTTTGAGCCTCAACAATGGAGACCTGAGCGACGGCTCTGCCTCGAACGGAACCCTGTCCAGCGCCTCGGCTCTTGAGGAAACAGCGACGGCTACCACCGGCACGCAGGAACCCACCGGACCCACCCCTCCCACCTCCCCATGAGTCCTCCTCTTCCGGGTCACCCAGGCCCGCCGTTCCCCCCGGTGGTTGGGATGTTCCCTGCGTTTTATTCTGGCCATATTCCCCTACTACGTGGAATTCGGATGGTCTACTCGTACCGCACACATCCCCCTGACATGAGCCACGTTCGCTGTTTTCTGCCAATTGCCTAATTCTTGGCCCGCACATCCATCCCAAAACACAACCCACATTTGCACCGAAGCTCCATGTCTCTATGGATGCTGTGGAGTGGCCACGTGGTGTGAGTGTCCAAATCGTGCTATGGAATTGACCCAAAGTGGATCGACTTTAGCATCGGCTTGGCTGTTGTCTTCAATCACGTCTTTGTTTCACTGGTGGAATGACCCATTCGGGGGGGGAAAGGGGATATGATTTCCAATTCTCGTTATCCCACAATACACAACCTTCTGGAGTCCACATGTGGTTCCACTATGTTTCCTGCTCTGTAAAGCAGCGATTGATTGGTATTTAATGCGGTATGATTTGAGCGTTGCATTGTTTATCCAGCCTGGCATTTCAATCAGCGAGTCAACCCGAGGAAACATCGGATATACCCTCACACTTCATAGCTTAGCAGTATCAGCATGGTGTAAAAGTGCAGCTTACGGCATTCAGACTTATTTTATTGTTGGCGGGGGGAGGGGGGGCTGGGCTTTTGTTTGTAAACCATTTACAGCCAGTGCATATATTTAAATTCATAGTACACATTTTCCTACCAAAAGAGACCTGACATTCTCAACATCATCTTTATCACACACATTTGCTCAGTTGTATCTTTGAGTGTCCTGCCCTTCGAATATAATCTATATATATATATATATTTACACGGTGGATCAAACTACATGCTGTCATTCATGGTAGACTTAGCTCTGACAAGATGCTCTACAAATGGTTCTGAAACCTTTGCTAGCCATTGTATAAATGTCATCCGTTAACTTGTACAACAAAAGTGCTGTGTTACACAGTTGTGAGGTTACAGTAGATTAAAACGAGAGATCACTCATCATTTAGACAGCTGAAACCCACTGGCATTTTCTCTGTACATTTGTACTCATACTATGTGCTTAGGTATACGAAGTGATGAAATTGTAAGTTACTTTGCAGTCTATATTTATTCTTGTCCTCTGTAGGCACGACCACAGGAGTTGACTCGGCAGGCACGCGCTGCATACATATTTGACCTCTTTGGCTCTGAGCATGGCAATGATTGGCCGAGGCGGTCACGTGACTCTCACATGTGACACCGAGCCATGTAATTGGCGCACGGCCACGCATCTTAAAACACGTACAATAAGTTTGGCTGCATTACCAATATACAGCCTGTGCGTGTGGTTTCCTTTTTAGATAAATGTATACATTTTTAGATTTTCCTTGAAGGTTACTTTAAAATATGAATTACTACCATGGTTGATTCTGCAGTCATGGTGCATATGTAAAGATTAGTGATGTTTTAAGGTTAAGTGTCCTCGGTCACTTGTGAGATTATTGTCAACGCTTGCAATATTAATGTAGAAGCTTTAATCAACCAAACACTCGGCACAAAGCCCAGTGAATCTGCTTTCTTAAATCTGGGAAAAGCCTAATCCTTTGGAAATGTGAACCATTTGGGGCTACAACCATAAGCCTAATCTTTTCCTCATATTCCAACAGAGTTATTCCAACTTATTTTGAATTTGTCATAAAGTCCGTCCACAGGAATCCATAAACTGCTCACAACAGTCACATTTGTGAAAGATATTTTAATATTTCAAACACTTAATTTTACTGTATTTATTTGCTTTCGTTACAATTCATGGAGACGAGAAAACTCGATAAGAACATTAAACTTATCCAACAATATTGCATTCCATTGCACGTGAATAACGGAGTTGCTTTTTAAAGGCAATCTTGGAAGATGGGTCTAATATCACGATTTGCAGGGGTAACAATCACGGACTTCGAACTTAAAAGCTGTTAACAGGTATGTCTGTTACAAGCCTTGGAGGGAACTTGGAGAAGAGGAGGTTGTTCACTTTCGGCCGTGGGCAGTTGGGACATCACCTTTGGGTGAGTCCAGGGAAATTTGAACAGGGCCGTACTGAGGCACCATTGATGCCGTCCATCTGTGCATATTGAATTCCTTCCCTTGACTATCCTGATGGATTATTTTCAGGGCCGTCCACGCACACATGAAGGGCATCTCGTCGAGAGGGATGCTAGTTCTTGTCAGTGGCTTTGGAAACGAAGTCGTTAGGCTCGCTCAATGTTTTTCCTCTTCGTTTGGTCTGAGTACTTTAATAACCGATCTTGGCTTTATTTATTTACTATTTTTACTATTTTAGCTTTATTTTCTCTGTTTAGTTCCAGAAGAATGTGGAAAAATGTAAAATAAAACAAATGGAAACAGCCTAAAAACATCGGTGGCATGAAGCAACACTTTTTATAATCTTAACGGTTTTTGAAACATTAACATTTTGATTCTCATTGTGTATGCGTTTGGTATGTACATCCGTGCATGACCATGTGGTGTGGGGGAGTCCTTTTTTTAATGTTACTGGAAAGGAAGCAATGGTTGAGGGTCATTGGGGTACCCAAAAGGGTTGGGTAGAAATGTTTTGCACCAATATTTTCGAGTCTTACGACTTACAAAATATTATCTTTAATCTAAAACAGACGTCCAACGAAGAGTGTGAATACTTGATGTGCCCAGTTTTACATGGTCTTCACAGCATCTATTCAATGTTACAAACAACATTTTGTACGTACTGTGCAGTGAATGTTAGTGACTGGTGTGAGAGTACTTCTGTATAAATTATAATCCGATAGCTTTGTGTAATTAAACAAATTAAAATTGTAAATGTTGCAATGCTTGCTGACCTACCAAACTAATTTGTGTGTTATTACATGTGTACGTACTTTTTCTTTGTTTTGGTAACAATGTCAAAAATGTATAATATGGTAAGCGTTAATCATGGTATTTTATACGGGAGTGTTCTGTACAAGTATGATTGTGGAGGAGCAGTTTCATATAACCGTCTTGGACATTTAGCCTTATTCTAATCAAACCAACAAATAGCACTACGTATTGTTTCATGATGCTCTAAAAAATTAAATAATAGGCTTCTTATAAATGTTACAGAAGCTCAAAATGTATATCCGAGACCATGCCACTTTAACCAAAGGCCATCTACACAGTCTTACAATTGTGCATTGTTGCAAAACATTATGCTCTGTCCAAAGTGCTCCTGTAATGGGTTTTAATTTTTCAAAGGTCCTGATGCTAGACAACTTGGATGCAGGTAACACAGTCACTTGGGAGGACCAATGTGTGATATGATAAAAGTGACGAGACAGCTGAGGAAGCAAAGAGACAATCTGAGTTTGCCGTATTTAAATATTATGTTTTCTGTCTCGTTTTTGGTGATGTAATGAGAGAAATTTCACCTTTTGGAAAGTATTTCCCACTGCTTATCGGTGGTATGTTTTCCACAGTTATCAACGTTCTCAATTCAAACAAGAATTGCATTGATAGATTGAATGGAATCGTGTTGATTGGTGAATAGGGTGAGGTGCATTGTGGTTGGAGGCTTTTGAGGACTTTTATTAGTGCTGCCGTGCAGTGTCGGATTTGTGTGTATGTTGAACTTGTTCGACAACGTATGTAGCCAAACGTGCTAATCGGGGATGCGAATTAGCTCGTCATAGTTCATGTTGGGTTTAAATTGTGGCTTTCCAAACTCTAGTCTTGCTTCACCCCAGCCCATGCAATAATTGGTTATAATATGTGCAAAAGGTTAACGACTTGATTAGCAACACAATCGGAAATATTGGTGAACTTGGTTTTTCTATTTTTAATGCAACCTTTGGGAATTTGAATAACACGAGATACACCATTCTAAATGTTTCAATAAGGAAGCCCTCGACATACACCTTATAGCGGGACCCTCGGCTCTCACATAAACTGCGTTGCGACGTCATTTGATGTCTGTTGAAGGCGAACGACACGGCAATCTATTCCTCTCGACGCACTCTACACGATGCGCTAATCAACGTTTCAAAGTTTTCTTTCTTCTGCGCATTCGTCCTCGCTGCTGCGCTAGGACGACACGGCAACAATGATCCGCGCCACGTGGGTCGCGGCGTTTATGTGCGCGGTGGGACGGAGTCGCCAAAAATAAACAAATTAATTGCGATTTTGACTTTCGTTTATTTGGGACCCCGGGGTCCCGCAATAAGGTTCATATCGTAACAATTTTTCATTGTATATATTTTTTATTGCCAGCGATCTAAATTGGAGCAACAATGGTATTTGCATGTTTAAAGGCCTCCTACACTTTTGAGATATGTTAAATTAATGGAAATATTAGATTGTTTCGGTAAAGTGACGTCGGTATAAAATAAAAATAAAATAAATAAACGATTCTTATTTTAAACACTCTAAATACATCTGTTTTGTGTTTTTTTTCTTTTTTATTTGTAATTAATTTTTATTTTATACCTAAGTGACTTTACCGAAAGAACTAAAGAGTATGGATCATTGCAGTTACGGAAACTTAAGATCTAGATATTAGATTGTGTTCAATGAAAGTAAACATAGCTTTTAAGTCCAGGGAATTGGTTGTGACAGCACAACTATGGCACACTGGCACCGTGGCGTGTCCGCGTGTGCCACTCAAGCGCATCTCTCTTCTCTCTGCCCATGTTTATTTCTGCCTGTAGTTTGGACTTCAAATAAAAAATGACAATTTCCGTGTACTCGTAAGATAGTTGCGCTGTGCATTTAATGTGACCTCACATAGTGGTACAGTATTGTTGCACCGGACTGAGTTTTCATTTGCAAATAGAAATGTTCACTTAAATAATAGCTTTCTCATTTATTGCATCTTACATGCATTAATAAAACAATACACGAAAAATTATGTTATTGTTTTGTAGTGTATGTATATCAGATAGTGTATATTTAAAGGTAGTTTACATTGTTTTATTATCCATTCAATGTGTTCACAAATACAAGACTGTCATTACAGATGTTACAAAGGGCCATTACAAGACATTATGCGCTGCATATTGAAGGTATTGCTAGGACAAATATTGTTTTAAAATATTCTAATCACAAATAATGATAGCAATTATGAACCCAGGAAAGCTTAACTTTTTTTTAAAGAGGGGTCCTGCTTTGGGATGTTTAGCCATCACAATACCAATACCATACATGCATTTGGATTCCAGTGGCTTCCCACCAGAGCACCCGAAGACAACCCATGCACACAAAAGGAATAACAATAAAAACTCTGCACAGATAGATTCAATAAACTGACAAAATGTAATCTTAGTTTACTGAGCCCATTAATGTACTGTCATCTGGATAACTCACATCCGGGAGCGCTTGTGGGTAACCTTACCAGTCACCAAGCTCGGCCCTCATTTAGCATTAAGGTCATCTTTATTGATTCACATGCCATCCTGAACATGTGCACTTTTATGGTCCTAATACTGTACAGGTTTTTGGAAAAGTGAACTAAAAATTCAGTCAAACTTTGAAGCTCTGATGTGGACCAATCCGTTTAAAGAACAATGCATATATAATCAGAGCATGCTATATGTTTGCATGTTCACCACAAGTGCGTGTCGTTAATGCAGACAGGATTCCTTAACGCCTGTTTTCTTGCCAGAAAGGGTCAAACCCATTGTTATACGGTGCCATGCTCTCTGTGCAGCACAGAGACCACGTGACGGGTTTGTTGACATCCGGGTTACTTCCCCAAGTGAGCGGAGCGCGCGCGGGGGGGGTGGGGTGGACTGCGGGAGGGGGCGCCCGCGCGCGTGACAAGCGGAAGCCGTCAACGCGCATGCGCAGTCGCTCGATTAATTCGAGCGATTTTTTAATATTACACGCAGCAAAACTTTTTCTTCGACGTTTTGTTACGCCGACGCGGATAATAAATCGTCGGGTAAAAATATTTGTTAAAAAAAAATTAGATTTTGACGTTGACAAACAAAAAAAATCTCGCCGACCAATCGGGGAGGAGCTCGCGCCGCGGTTGCTAAGCGACAAGCGCGCGCCAGTGCGGCGCGGCCTGGCGGCAACGCTCGCCGCGGTTAGGACGGCGTAGCCCGCGATAAATCAACTTAAAACTTTACTAAAGCGACGCAACAAAAGCAATCACAATAATAATAAGTGTCGTTATACGCGTCGTCTGTTAGGGCAGAGCTACGCGGTCGTGAGGAGCCGTCGGCGTTGCGCGTTGCGTTGAAGCCGTCTTGCGCGGAGCCTGCCGAGTGTATGAGGCCTCGTGGTGTAGGCCCCAGCCGACCACTCGTTAAAGATCTCCCACAGGTCCGGGTTCTCGTCGATTTACAGTCATTCTCGTCCACTGCTGGATGAAGGCATCCCTCCCCCACCCCCTTGTGTCGTGGTTGTCTTGTGAGTGAAGGTTTGTGAAGCTTGAAAGGGCCTCGTTTAGACCTGGTTCAGATGTGACTTGCTGTGGCCGCAGATTGAACTCTGTTGGATTGGTTAAGAGAGCAACGCGCCAACCACCCTCTAGCATAATTATATTGTTAATAGTATTACTGTATTAGCTTTACTGTCATACAATTGCTGTTATGACTATCAGCATTGTAATTAATGTGCAGTATTTGTATACATCATTAGCAACATTAAAACGTGGAAACGCATCACTTATACTCAATACTATGATTAGTATTACATATCTTAATATTTAATAGATTGTCATTACTGTCATTTTATTGGTTCTTTCGGTAAAGTCACGTAGAAGGGAAATAATAAAAATTTAACAATAATTCTCACGACGTTTCGGCCACAACGCTGTCTTTCCGACAGACCTGTTCTTCACCTGAGGATGGCTGCTTGCGTTGTGGCCGAAACGTGAGAATTATTTTAATAATGTTTTATTTTTATTATTTTATTATTTCCCTTCTACGTGACTTTACCGAAAGAACCAAGAAGATGAATCCCTGCAGTCGCGAAAGCTTTAAATCGAAAATTACTGTCATTATTTGTATCTTTACCGTAATCGCTGTCATGACTTGTACTGTTAATATGCACAAATTACGAGATGAAAACACGACCCATAAAACAGCTTGCAGTTACATGCAATTGGGCTGCGTGTCTCGGGATCTTTAAGACGACTTTTAAGTTTAGATAATGAAACCTACCCTGCCTTTTGGCGTCCTCTGGTCTAACACCGTTTTGAGACTAGGCTCAAAAGAAAGCTGTCTCTGGTGTGGACCAATCAGTTTCCAATGCAATGCATATATTATCAGAGTATGTTTTTTTGTTTGCATTCTGACCACAAGTATTGTGGTTAATGCAGACATGATTCCTTGTGAAATGTTTCAGTTTTTGTGTTTTAACATCTTAACACAGCTGTTTTGTTGCCAGAAAAAAGGGGAAAACCTATTCTCATGAAACATACTTTAAATTTACATTATTTAGTATCAAATGCTTTGGTCAAGGGTTTTATGACCCAATTAAATGTTCCCGCAGCCGAGCAGTTCGGATTTATTTCATTGTTAAAATAACCTTTTATATTTTTCGTAGGCGGATGTGCAAACACGTACAAGATAATCAGTTAAGCCTCTCGCGGAACGGACTCTATGAATTATGGCAGCGCATTTGGACATCACAGCCAGCGAAGGTAAATGTGTTTGAATAAACATCGCACAATAGCATTGGAATGACCTAGGATTCTGTCAATGTTTATCATCACTTGCTAACCACTCCTTTTGAACTGGTAAGCTAGTAACAAAAAAATGCAATAGTCTACGGTACTGTTGCTCGGAAAAATACTGCTGCCACCAATCACAATCGGTTTTGGGAGTCGCAGAACATGGTTAATGTGCACGCTATTATAACCACGGAGTGGAAAAAGAGATCGACAGGACTGCAGCCGACAAGGGTTGAACCACCAACTAGCCGCACCGTGATTTTTCAGGAAAGCGATATTTCATACCACGCTGACATGGTCGAGGTATGCTTGTCTCTTTTTTTTTTTGTGGCAGGCCGGGTGGTCGACCTGTCGGATCGTGGCCTGGTCCGGTTGTCTGCGGTGTCGCTGCCCACGGACGCTTGCACGCTGGTGCTTGACAGTAATAACTTGCCCAAGCTGGACGGTGTGGAGAGCTGCAGGCATCTCATGCAGGTGCGCACGGCACAAGCTGCTACGCGTTTGGGCTCCTCCTTTGGGCTGTCCACACAATGGGGAATGTCAGATATCATCCATGTATTACAGGGTTCTGCAACTATATTTTCTGGTGGATAACGAGGGCTGGTGTCGCGTCGTGTGATAACTTGTGACCGCTCATCAGCACCTCGTCTCCAGGTCTCTCGCATCTTGTGCATCTTTTTTTCTCTTACTAAACTTATATCGACAGCTCTGTAATCTCTTTTGTATCTCTTGTTCGTGTTTATTTCATCTCAGCCAGCCATATCTTGGCCAGCCACTCCAAAAGCTCTGGCCTGTGGGAAACTAGTTGATGTAATGTATAGGATACACAAAGATTAGTGATCGTTAAGGATTATTTTTATGTGGCAAAACATCCATTACAATAAGGACGTGCTCATTGAATAGGGATACAATTTACATCAATTTTATTTACCTGTTTAATATACATATGTATTTCAGCATTTTTAAAATACAGATTCACTTGAACGTATATTCACACTGCATTTTTGGAATTCATGATAGCCCATTCTAATGCTGGTCAGTGAAGTACCAACTGTATGACACTACATTACAGCGTTAAGTTTATGGAGCTGGGGTGTAACACACATAATATTGTAACGGTTTTTATTGGTAGGAACCTCCTGGTTACACCAGCCCATGGGATTATTGTGTCCGTCCGTCGTGCAGGGAGGGGCTGGGTGGGGAGGGAGAGGCTGGGTGGGGCTGGGTGGGGAGGGGCTGGGTGGGGGGTGGGGCTGGGAGGGGAGGGGCTGGTCACCCCGTGGTGCCCTTATAAAACTCAACGTTTAACCTACTCACGCCGGCTTGTGCCCGCCCTCACAGTCGGGCATATTTGCGGAATATACCACGCTGCCGTTGACCCTGGCCATTGACCGAGCAACCCAACGTTCCTACCAGCTCCCTCCGCAGGATTGTGTTAATATTTATTCAATGCATATATAAGGATGTATCTGCTTATTATCCCTCTGTGTCCCTCAGCTGTCAGCTGCTGAGAACAGCCTGGTGCGCATGGGAGGTGTGGCCAGGCTCAGCAGCCTCAAGCAGCTCAACCTTCCTCGCAACAGCATCGCAGCCATTGAGGGCCTCAAGGATCTCTGCCATCTGCAGTGGCTGAACCTTGCCGGCAACAGCATCAAGGTGTGCACAGGCGGGCAGCTACTCACCGCCCCCCTCCGAGCACTGGGGCTGATTTTTGTCCTTTTAGAAACATGCTTTTAGGTTTCTTAGATTATTTGGCTACTGTAAATTTCCACAAGATAAGCCACTTCGTTGAGCTGTCGTTTGTGGCCAGGTTGCTTCTGAATAAGAAGATTATAATTTAGTGGACTTTACCTGGTAGAATAAAATAGTTTTGTTTGTACATTGTTTTTGGTGATTTGCTTACCTTTCCTATACTTCGCACTCTTATGGTGTTTTTATATTTTTTCTTGTTGTAACGTTCTGACCCGCCCTTACTAGACATATGAAAAAGAGCTTTATAGCTCATTGGATTTCTCCAGTATAAATACATGTTTTGATTCTCATTTCCCATTAATGCTGTTAGCATCATGTCACGAGATATGAACTGTCATATATAACTCTTGCAAAAAACAGTGCATCACCCACCCCATGTTACATAGCAGCATCGGGAAGATGACTTGATATGGGGAGGTGTTGATCACCTACCTACTCTTTGGTTTTTTCGGTAAAGTCACGTAGGTAAAATATCTTAATAAAATAAATGAAAACAACTAAATTAAATCACGACGTTTCGGGCGCAACACAAGTGTCCTTCTTCAGGTGGGGACAACGAAGCGAAAGCACAACTGCTTAAGTGTGTTGATCACCTGGTGATCAAATAGAAAATTTGTCCTCAGAGTGGACATATGCTGAAACGAAAAACCATACTTAATGCAATGGATGTTTGTGCAGTCATATATTACTTGAGATCTTCAAAATGCTATACCTATGAACCAATTATTTTCGTAGATTGCCGAAACTTTAATTTAACGAAGGATCTCAGCAGTGCCACGTTTGTGCTCAGATGTGTTATTAGGCTCCTGAGCTACTCGGCCTCCTGTTTTAAATATCAGGAGGAAAAGGAACTCCCACAGGCATGAATAGTCTGTTGCAGTTGTATGGAGTTACCATCAGCATGGAGCTTGGAAATGGACGTGACGTTCTTGTGCATTCTCAGGGCAGTGATTGGCACAGACTCCTGTTGCTTTGGCTTGGTAAATGGCACAGCTCATGTTACTGACCATCACTGGAGGGATTTAAGAGTCGGCAGTGCCGAGTTTAGACTTGCAGCCTCACTCATGATTAGCAGTTGTTCAGCTAGGCGGTCCAGCAGGCATGGAACGAAACATCGGTTTATCATTGAAATGTAAACTTATCCTGGCAATATACAGTTCAAATTTAATGCGTCTGAATCCATTACTTACAGTTTTTTTTGTACTTGCATTGTCTTTAGGCACATGGAATAAATAAAACTGTACAAATCAGACTGCACAAATGGGAATTGAATCTTATTCTAACCCTGAATTGTGACAGTCAAATCCCTGGGGTTGTGTATCTACTATTCAGCTTATTAGTACCGCCTATGCCGCATGTTTTTCTGCGTACTTTGTTTGCCTGACCTCAAATAGCTTGGCTCAATATATTTCACATGGTTTTATCTAATTCTGTAACTTAAAGAATGGGATTTCAATTTGAAATCATAATCAAATTGGTAAGAAATATATAACAGCTGTAAGTTTTTGACAAATTATATATCTGATTAAGCCAAATAACGATACATTGACTAATGGGTGGTATATACGTGATACGCACAACACGTGGAAAAACCTTTTTAACATTTCGTCAAAGGCATAATTACTTTTCAGACCATAACTTTTGGATTATTAGCATTGACTCTAATATGTTGTATTTGTTTCTCTCAGACGATAGAACACCTGAATGGCTGCACCTCCCTTACATACGTGGACCTATCTGACAACAACATCTCCCACCTGGGCGACATGTCAAAGCTGTCCAACCTACGGGTGTGTCACATGGGGGGCACCAGATACTCACACAATGTGGCACAATAGCAGCTAGTCTGCTTAGTAAATTATTCAACTATTACTTTTCCTAAAATATTAATCCATGTAATTGCAGCAATTAAAATGTACTGTTAGAAACGTGTTGATTCATCTCTGAAGTTGTTGCTTGGAGGCTTCTAGATTGAGTGGTGCCATAATTGATGATAGCTTCTAGGTTTGTATGCTTGGTGTCATTTAAAATGGAGGAACTCCCACCATTCACTACTGTGTGATGCTGCCCAATTGCTGAGCACCACACGCTCCATTAAGGGATTGTTAAGTGTGGCTCCGGTTTAGTGTTGAGGCTGCGACAGCACCTTTCTTTGCAGCTGTGCTGTGTAGTAATATCATGTAAATGAGTCAGCAGAAGTGCGATGTATAAATTACCACACATGCAGGCTTGCCATGTTCAGGTATAATACATTATATGTTTATTGCAGTAATCATGAGAGGGCAATATACAAGTTCTTGAAATTCAGGTTTTTATGATGCCATGTATATGTATGTTTGTTTCACTAATGAAGTGTTTAAGTTGTGGTCTGACAGCCTGGGGGAAAACAGGCTGGGAATCATCACATTGCTTTCATGTTGCGTCTTTTACACCTCTTGGTTCGGGGGCAGAAGCCAAAGAATTGGTAAAGACATCAACCGAGCAGTAGATCCAACCAAGGAGATCTTGTGAACTCACTTATATATAGGTGTTGTCCATGTGAATTTCTTAATTAATCTAAAGGGCTAAACATATCCTTTGCAGAAAATAATGCACATTAGTGACGAATGATTTTGGTCCAGACAGATGGTCATGCAGTAATTAAATTGCTAACTTGCCCCTAGAGATGAGTGTAATCCATACATATATATGCATGGGAATTCTGAGAATATTTCAGTTTTCTTCCACATGCAGAATATTTGAGAAATTGGACAACTATCCCAAGTAAGGCTTTCTTCAAATAGTGCCTTAAGAAGTGAGGCTTTCCTTTTTAATTGAGAATTATTGCTTTACATAAGCATATGACACAATGTATTTTTGATGTATGCACCATCTAAATGTGACTGCATCTGAATGAATGGTGTTGTGTTCCAAGTGTAGACCCTTCTGCTGCACGGCAACATGGTGACAAGCTTGCGCGCTGCCCCCACGCATCTGCCTCCACAGCTGGGCATCCTTTCTTTGGCTGAGAATGAAATCACCGACCTCACCGAGGTGTGTCAAGGCACCCCTTACCCCATCCTCCCCCCCCACCCATCGTTCATCACCTCCGCAGTTTCACCAGTCACCTCATGATGCACACATGGGCGCTGTGAGGCCTATATGCATGTTCGTACACTATCAGTAATAAAAACCTACAGTACTAATGAGATACACACCGGCCCACCCATCGTTCATCACCTCCGCAATTTCACCAGTCACCTCATGATGCACAGATGGGCGCTGTGAGGCCTATATGCATGTTCGTACACTATCAGTAATAAAAACCTACAGTACTAATGAGAAACACACCGGCCCACCCATCGTTCATCACCTCCGCAATTTCGCCAGTCACCTCGTGATGCACAGATGGGTGCTGTGAGGCCTATATGCATGTTCGTACACTATCAGTAATAAAAACCTACAGTACTAATGAGAAACACACCGGCCCACCCATCGTTCATCACCTCCGCAATTTCGCCAGTCACCTCGTGATGCACAGATGGGTGCTGTGAGGCCTATATGCATGTTCGTACACTATCAGTCTTAACACCCACAGTACTAATGAGATACACACTGGCTGCTGCAGTCCGACTTAACATACATTACTGCATAATGAAATTGAAAGTGCTGTCCGTGGACCTGCTATTTAAAGCAACACAAACATCCTTTATATATCAGGCACCTATGCAAATCTGTAGATGCACAGCAATGTTGGAAGTGGTCTTTCCTTCAGACATCAGTTAAATGAGCATAGAGCAGTGTATATTAGGAAGCCACTGGAGCTATGGACTTTGAAATCTATGTTAAAATCTCATTTCTTTAGAATGTATTTTTGTGTTGAGTTTGTTGTCCTTCCCCCGCACCTCCGATTAGCACGGTTGGCTACATACAGGGCGAAAGAAGTTCTACATACATCATACATACAGATGGATCATTTGCTGTAACTGTAAGTGCGTGGTGGTTGGTGTCTGTCTGCAGATGTCACACCTGTCATGCCTGCGCAGCCTTGAGCAGCTGTCGGTGATGAAAAACCCGTGCATGCTAAGTGCACCCTCAGCGCCAGTCTGCGATTACAGGCCCTACGTGCTCAGCTGGTGTCTGACACTGCGCGTGCTGGATGGGCATGTCGTCACGCAGAAGGAGAGGTAGGGAGTGCTCTGCACGGGGTCATGATGCGGCCACACGTCTTTGGTGACTCAAATACCGTGTACTTTGGTATATGTTAGGCACTCAACATGGGTTATGGCACACCCCATTACAACAGTGACAGCGTCATGGGTGAGTTGGCAGAAGGTGGCACTGGAGCATTGTTACACACGTTTGTCAGACATCGCAGGTTTGATTTCTGCTAAAGTGGCTTTCGGCACGGCGGTGCTTTCCTCCGGTCGGGTAGAGGTGCTGCTACAACCTCTTCTGATTGGATGTGGGTGCTGCCAGGCCATTTACGAATGTAAGATTTAGCTGCATAATGTAGTATTTAGTTCTTATGTAAAGGTGGATTTTAGATACATTTTTGGAGACCTTTGCCGCACCCACAGAGTTCCCTCTCCTCTATATCAGCAGCGCAGCACTTGCTTAGGGACGTTTTTTCTGCATAATGTAGTGAAGACCTTCTAGATGGTGTGGTGGACACCAAAGTAATATGGTTGTCAGTTACTTTTGTGAGTGCTGCCAGACCGCACAAAAGTCCATAATTATATCAGAAGAAAATTCTACATTAATCGGATTATGTGGGGTTGTGAAGGGGTGTTACAATCTAAATAGTTGTCACCATCATTACATAATGAGGCCTGGTGTGCAGGCATTTAACGATTTACCCCCTCAGCAAATTGTATACAGTTTGCACAACCTATAAATAACCAATTCTCATACACAATTGAATTCAGGTATTGTGTGCGTGAGAATCAATATTAATTGAATAATTATGGATGCATAGTTAAACAACTAGTGGTTTGTAACTCTTTGAGGCTTCAGTGCTCACCTGAGTTCACTGTTGCACGAATTGCGCTAACAACACAGCGTGTTTGCCGACTGGCTGCAGCTTGAAGGCGGAGTGGCTGTACAGCCAGGGTCGGGGCCGTTCGTTCCGGCCGGGCCAGCACACCCAGCTGATTGGCTATCTGGCACAGGTGTGCCCGCAGTCCACCTCGCCGCAGCTCATCACCGCTGAGGATGCCAAGCTCCAGAAGATACTCAAACAGCAACAGTGAGAACTCTTGAACTGCCACTTTATAATTATTGAAGGACATTACAGCATGTGAAATTTCACTAATTATTTTCCGTAATTTCTGGGCATTCTTCAGTTGAAATAATGTGGGCGGATATATTGTTCCATATGTGATGGGGTTTTTTGGGGGAACCCTTACGGATAGGAAAGGAACGACAATCGCACATCTTGAAGCTCAAATAGAAGTGTGCAAAGCAAAACTGACCTTTCGTTAGCTGTGTCGCTGCGCTGAGCAGAACCGTCATGCCAGCCAGTCCTAGTTCTATACTGTACAATTACTACCGTGGTATTAGATGTGCATTCTATAATTGTGATTTTCAGTTTAACACGTTGGCTTTCGCGACCAATATCATCCATAATAGAGGTTTTTTGGGTTAGATCGCGTAAATATATAAATGTGTCGTTAAAACCCGCCACCACCCGACACAGCCAACTAGTAAGGGTTGTCACGTAAACAGAACGTGCCAGGCAGGATGACAGGAATCCAGGCAGGAAGTAGTCAAGAAAGCTGAATGAAAAGCAGTTTAAATAACATTACAGAGCTGTCTCATATTGAGACCCCCCCCACCACCTACACATTCCACAAGTAGTGACTAATCCCATATCTGCATTTTCCATAAATATGCTAAATTCCTCTGTTGATATGCAAATTCCTTTGTCAAGGCGCTCTTCCTCCCCTAACCCAGCTTAAATATACGCTGCCAAGCTTGGTGGTGTTCATTCAGACGCTGTCTTTCCGACAGACCTGTTCTTCACCTGAGGACGGCTGCTTGCGTTGTGGCCGAAACGTCGTGAGAATTGTATTATTTTATTATGTTTTATTTTTATTATTTTATTATCTCCCTTCTACGTGACTTTACCGAAAGAACCAAGAAGATGAATCCCTGCAGTCACGAAAGCTATAAATCGAAATTTATACCAGTTTGCTAGCTGTTTTTGGGTTATATTTGGTTTTCATGCAAATAACCGAGTATTTGTTGAAAATGTTGACATGAACTGGGGCACTCCACTCAGTGTATTTTGAGACACGCAGTAGTTTCATGCAGCGCGTAATGTTTGCAGCGTTTATCAAATGCATCAAAGTTTTACACAGGGTACATGTGTGAGGTACAGAATGTTGCCTTCATCTGCCATTTATAATTCATCGCTCTATAGACTTGGTTGAAACAGAGAATGTCTCAACTACAGTGCGTGTTTTTTTCCTCTCCTCTCTGACCGACACAGGCGCCACCAGAAGGAGCTGATGGAGGAGCTAAAGGAAGAGCGGCATCGGAGCCTCTCTTTGGGAGCTTCCCAAACACCGTCATCCCTCAACCCTGGAGACAGCAGCAGCCTCACGTACAGCGAGCTTGCCTCCGAGACGCCAGGTGCTGTCAGTCGACAATGCAGTGGCTCCTGATTAAACACAACTGTGCCTCGTTTTGCCTGTCTTGTTTAAAACACCTGTTGAGCGTGCTCCACACGGATAGAGTTTATGGTAGAACTAATCAGCTTGGTTACACGGCCATTGCAACGTTTTGAGCAGTGAGGAATCATTGTGGAATATAATGAAAGTGGTATGCCTATAAATTTTGATTTAAAGCTTTCGTGACTGCAGGGATTCATCTTCTTGGTTCTTTCGGTAAAGTCACATAGAAGGGAAATAATAATAAAAAATATTTTAATATTATTATTTTCTTATGTTGTATTTTTATTTCCCTTTTACGTGACTTTACCGAAAGAACCAAGAAGATGGTATGCCTATGTCATTGAATATGTATACTGTTTTGCTTTCACATCAAAAGTTGATTTGAACTGGTATGTGAATAGTATTGTTTATATGGAATGTATTATGACGTTTTAGCATCCATCCATCAAGCACAAAAACATTTAGTTGCTCATACCGGGAGATCGATATTTAGTTGTCCCGTGTGTTGGTGAACAGCACATAGCAAGCAGGCATACAATACTTAACAGGAGTACCGTATTGATAATATATCCTGCCACTAACAAAATTACATTTAGCTTTTTAGTTACATCTTTTTGGTTTTTTCGGTAAAGTCAGGTAGAAGGGAAATAAAATAAAAAAAATAAAATACTTCTCACGACGTTTTGGCCACAACGCAAGCAGCCGTCCTCAGGTGGAGAACAGGTCTGTCGAGAAGACAGCGTCTCCATTCAGACACGTCTCCATTCAGACGCTGTCTTCCCGACAGACCTGTTCTCCACCTTAGGACGGCTGCTTGTGTTGTGGCCGAAACGTCGTGAGAATTATTGTTTTTTTATTATTTTATTATTTCCCTTCTACGTGACTTTACCGAAAGAACCAAGAAGATGAATCCCTGCAGTCACGAAAGCTTTAAATCGAAACTTTTTAGGTACGTCCACTTTCTAATCACATTTCCTCATGCCGGTGTTTGGTGGTGGGTCTCGCAGACAGGCCCATTAAGGTGAATTTGTGGACGGGCGGAGGGGGTCTGCACGAGATGGCGTCCCCAGCCCTTGCACAGCGGACGGCGGCGTCCAAGCTCGGCGTGCGCCCGGTCAACTCCGACCTCCACCTCGAGGACGTACACTCGGAGGACGACCGGCTGGGCTCCAGCATGCTGTTGTCGGAGTCCACCTTTATGATGTGCCCCAGCTTATTACCATCGCCCAAGTCCGGCGAACCAATGGGCGTCTCGGCAAACGGTGCCCGGACTCCGTTTCAACAAGCCCTGAAGCACGAAGACAAACCCCTGCGTCCTCGGCAGTCTCCGCAAACGGAGGCGGTCGGTCAGAAGAAGTTGCCGCATAAACGGAGGCAGTTGCCTTCGGTGCAGGGGTTGAGCGGGAAAGTATCGGCGCCTGCGCAGGCGGGTGAGGTTTCGAGGCCCAGTAGCGATGCATACGGTCGTCCGTTATTAAAAGGAGCTCCGACATTCAAGTCGTCGCTACACGACGGCAAGAAAATTGTGTCGACCCAGAGAGATGTCGGCACGCCTTCTCCGTGCTTGCAAGAAGTTCACGAAGAGCACGATGATAGTAAATGGACACTCAATGCTCAGGCGGAGAGTGTGCCAAGTCTCAGATTAGCTTCGTCTGCCGCTGTTCATCTAATGCAGCACAGAGAGACGCACGAGTTGAAAGTTGGAACAAAAGCACAAATTAACAGCCTAGGTAGCAAAGCTTTTCAGGAGACAGTGCCGCAGAAAGATGTGGAAAAAGCACTTCAAAAGAGAGGGGAGCACTTGAATAGATTCCCTATTGCTGCAAGCTTTGCACAATTGTCCCCTGAAGAGAAGAGTTGTGGTGAAGAGCAGCACAACAGGTCGGATGCATGCAATGCCTCGCAGCGAGGAAACCACATCGGGAACGTCGGCGAACCTGAAACGAATGTCCAAGGCAAGTCGCGTAGCCGATTGCACAATGACAAAGTGAGCCCTGTTTCCCTGCCCTGTGTTAAAGCTCTTAATGGAGGCTCCCTTGCAGACAATGGATCGTCCGTTCATAAAAATAGTGACAGTGCTTTTTGTACGGTGCCGTCAGCAACCGTGGCATCCAGCGTTCAGTTCTTGACACGTGCAGACAGGCAGATGGATTGCACAGAAGCCAACGCAGAGCACTTGGTCGGTGAAAAATCCCCTGACCGCCGCGGTGGTGGACATTCACCAAGAGCGACCGACAAAAGCACAAGACGGCACAATGTGAAGCCTGGCTTGCCAACTGAGTGTGCAGCGGGAGAGATGGCCCCTTGCACTGGGAGAAGCATTCGAACCGATTGGTCGTGAAAGTCCTGCGTGCCAGGAAAGCGGTTCACCCTCGGCTGGGGGTAGTAACATCGGCGGTGGGGTGGTTGTGAAGGTGGGTAGGGAGGCAGGGCCGGTGCGAAGTTTCGGGCCGCGTGCAAGAAGCGCCGCAGTTCGCATCCAGGCAGCGTGGCGCGGCTACCGTGCTCGCGAGCATGACGAGCGCGTGCGGGCGGCCCGTGGGGAGATGCGACTGAGGCGCCTGCAGGAGCATGTGGTGTACCTGGCACAGGAGCTGGAAAGGTTCGTCTCTTTCGCTCGCATGAAGCCGAGGAGCCACACTCTGAAACACCATTGTTATTCATCTTCTTGGTTCTTTCGGTAAAGTCACGTAGAATGGAAATAATAAAATAATAAAAATAAAACATAATAAAATAATTCTCACGACGTTTCGGCCACAACGCAAGCAGCCGTCCTCAGGTGAAGAATAGGTCAGCCGTCCTCAGGTGAAGAATAGGTCTGTCGAGAAGACAGACGCTGTCTTCTCTTCAGACCTGTTCTTCACCTGAGGACGGCTGCTTGCGTTGTGGGCGAAACGTCGTGAGAATTATTTTATGTTTTATTTTTATTATTTTATTATTTCCATTCTACGTGACTTTACCGAAAGAACCAAGAAGATGAATCCCTGCAGTCACGAAAGCTTTAAATCGAAACCATTGTTATTCCTTACATCGCCTTCGTGATGACCCTTGTCGGCAGCTTCGTCATCATCACCTCATTTTTAGTGATATTGGTACATCGTTGTCCATGACCAGAATGCACCCGATCCCATCAGTCCGTCGAGCTGAGCAGACTTGACCCCGGATAGCGCTTGGATGGGCCATCATAATTAAACAATTTTTCAGAGGGCTGCGGAGCTACATTGCAAGCAGCAGAGGTTAATGCAACAAATCAATAGTAATGTCCTATTCTCCCAGGTCTGCTCTCTGCCTCCACCGACCTGAACTTATCAGCGCAGTGAAGTATGGTTAAATAACACACGCATGACCTGAATAGCGTGGGGAGGCCCCAATTCAGCAGTGGGTTGACATGCACATATTAGTACACCGATATAATGGGCTTGGATTCGCTAATACCAGAGTTTGATTGGACAACCTCTGCTCATGGTCTTGCAATGTACATTTGGTCACCATATCAGTGGTTATTTACGTTTTCAGGACACATCACGTAACCCAACAATGTGCCTGATGTGAATAATGACTCTTTATCTGGTGCGTAACTTTCACCAGGCTGAGAAGCATGCACGAGGCGGAGAGAAGGGAGCGGCTCGTGCAAGCTGAAGCTGTCAAGTATCTGTGGAATCAGGTGCGGGTTCATCAGTTATTCAGTCGTCTTTGAATTTGAGGCTGTAATGTCACTCTTTGTGTGCCATTGTGTGATGTGTTACCATGCGTTGTTTTTCTTAAATGTACACTAAGATCCCCGTATAGCCTTAACAGACTGTTGGGGAAGTGCTGTTAGCGAGCACCTATGAAGGCCGGCACGGCACATGAGGGTATGGGTGGCCAGCACCATGCCCGGCCGCCATTGTCTCTCCAGTGGCAATGTTTTTACACACCGCACCAGGTACTCATTTGAGGCTGAGTTGATCTAGGGGAGGAACCGGGGACCGGTTCAGGTAATCGTCACTGGTGTTGGCCGTGAGCGGAAATCGAACTTGTGTCACCGGGTTTGTAGCGCAGCGCGCTAACCGCTACACTACCGCTCCACTTAAATGTACATCTATCTTTGGTTCCTTCGGGAAAGTCACGTAGGTGAAAATAAAAATGAAATAACTAAATTAAATCACGACGTTTTGGAGGCAATACAAGCTTCCGTCATCAGGTGGGACAACCACAGCAAAAAAAAACAGAATTATAGCAGTGATCAGCAACTTCGGAAGATCCAGTTCTGCCATGTTTCAAATCCGCCTTGTGCTCGCGAATGCGGTCCGATACATGTCGTTTCGTGACTTTACCGAAAGAACCAAAGACTATGGATCCTTGCAGTCACGAAAACTTCAAATCTAGAATGTACAACTATCTCCATCACATGCTGCTGTTTTGTGTTGTTCTAACAGGTGCGCACCCTACACGAGTGGAAAGAAGAGTTCACTCAGTCGCTCCGTATGCAGTCGACGTTCGCCGGCCAAAAACCTGAACCTCAGGAAGCCCTGCCTTTAGCAAATGAGCGGCCTGCACAAGGCACCACCGACAAGCAGAGCGCAGCGTCTGTTGAAAGTGACGCTTCTGACTCCGACAGCTCGGATGACAGCGATTCCAGTGACTGGTCGGAGGGAAGACCGGACGACACCCCAAGCCACGCTCCTCAGGGTGTGGCAGTCCAGAGCTCCCCCAGTGACGGGGAGCCCAGTCTCACACAAGAGTACCTTCATTCGGTGCAGCTTATGGTGGAGGAGGAGGAGAAGGAGGAAATGGGGCCAGAGCCAGAAGGATCGGTCAATTGCACCCTCAACTATGAGACATCCGTCAACCTGTCTGAGCAGCTACCTCAGGATGATTTGAGCGAGCGATCGCCAGTCGGCGGTCAAGCTCGCCCTGAAGCCCTCACTGCGGGCGTTCCAGCAGACACTGTGACCACTGTCCCTCCAGGTGAAGTTCTACTATCTGCCGAGCTGTCTTCAGAGAGCAGATCGGTGGATACAGTGGCAGAAAACGGATTGGTGGATGTCTCCGAGGCGTCTTCAGGGTTCCGAGTGCCCAGCCTTGTGCCAGACGGTGCCACGTGCGGTTGTGAATCAGACGTCCACGCTGTCTCTGATGAAGCAGGCCTGGATCTTCCCAAGGCCGTGTCGCCGCCACCACCACCTCTGTCGCCGCCTGAAGTTGGCGAGCTGCCTCCTGTTACCGCTGGCACGGTGGGTGCAGACGACATCGCTCTTGCTGTGGAGAATGCGCCAGGGGGGCAAACCCTGGCCGTTTCTGTTGATGCAGATGGACAGGATAGCTTGCACCAACTCGCGCAAACAGAGACGTCGGTTTCCAAGCAAGCTGCGTCGCTCTCACGAGCCTCGAATGGGCACAGCAGTTTGGTGAGCCTGGTATAAAACCAGCGAAGGGTTTTACAATTTCAATGAGTGCCTGCTACAGCTGAAATATATTTTCCCTCAGAATAATTGCCATTTAACAAGTGCCTTGGTTTTGTGGTCATTATACTATGCTGTTTTGGAGTGCCATCGTGTGTGCAGGCTTATTTAAGTGTGCTGCTTTATTGAAACGCCTGGTTGTCCATTGAGTGTTTTTTTTGGTTTGCGCATTCTCTTGTATTGCAAGTCTGTCACGTGGATGTGAATGCTGGTGTTGTTGACGGATGTGGGTATTTACGTGGCTGGGATTGTGAAGAGTGGGATATTGAAGCTGGGTCAGTTTGTTATGTCACACACATTGGCAGACTTTCCCATATTCAAGTCCCTTTAAATTGTACATCTTGATGTGTTTTTTATTGAAGGCACTTCTTTTCCCAGGAGGTAGCTTTTTCAGAAGGAAAAAACAAGCAATATGTTGAAAAAGAAATGTTTCATTCACATGTTCATATTCAAATATACACGTAACTTTATGGCATTAAGCTTGTGTGCTTGCTTGACTGATCTGTTAGGATATTAATATGTTTGCCTCGTGCCATTACAGTTGTATATTTCCAATCTTGCAGTGATTTATGGTTGTAGTTTCATAAGAAATATACGTGCAAATCTCTAAAACTAAAGTCAATGTATTTTAACCTACAATAAGGTAGTAAAGCGAAAACTGCAAATTAAGTTACAGCCATGTCTCGCCTAACGAGCTAAATGTGCGAAAATTGCTCGTTAAGAAAAACCTCGTGAAACAATCGTCGTTTTCCATTGACCCCCATGTTTAAAGGCGAGTTAGGTTTCAGCCTCAAAATGTTCCACTCCTGAAGAACTTTTTTGAACGTGAGAAATACAAATGATCACTTTAAAATAAAGTAGTAAGAGCATCAAATATAACACCAACACGTGAAGAACCACAATGCTTGCAAGGTGCCTATCCTCAGCACCTGAAATTAATTAGCGCCGCCACTCACCCCTCCCGACCGAGTGACACGAGGCAAGGCCCCCTTCCACGGCGAATTGCGCGCGATGCACAGCTGGTAAACACAATTGCAGGCTGCGATGCGCCACCTTTTGCGCCACCTTTACCTCCGCTCGTTGCGCGAACATTTGCTCGTTTTGCGAACAAATTGGTCAATTCAAATTGGTCAGCGGAATTCTCGTAGAAAGGATGCTCGTTAACCCAGGCACACCTATATTGTCTGTCTTTTTTTACCTCTGTAATTTTGTTGGGGACATTAGGCAGGGCAAACAACATTTACGTACGATTTGAATATCACGATTCTTAAATGCATTTCATGCACATTGAGTTATAACAATGGATTGTAATTAAAGGATTGAACAATAATGACATGGCTAAACGTTGCCTCGCGCTTCAGCCCCAGAAATTGGATGAACTCCAATTGATTTAGACATGGCGGTAGTCATTGATAGAGGCCTTGGACATTTGCGAGGGGAGCTGTCCAAGAGTTTGACAAAAATTGGCTGTTTTGGCTGATCCGTGGATAGTTCTCGACTGCAGATTCACCAACAGTAAAATTAGTTATCGCAATGACTCCGACTTCTTTCCATTACCTTAGATGAAATCTCCCTGGGGTAGACTGCTTCGTTTGAGCTGTATTGAGGATTCGCATAACTTATTTTTTTCCTGAAATTAAAATACTGTGAATTTATATGGCATTAAATGCAGCTTTATCTCATCACAACATTGAACGACACCACTGGCATATTACAATTTATATTCTTTGGTTCTTTCGGTGAAGTCACGTAGATTGAAAATTATATTTTTTACTGTAAGAACCAAAATAAGTCTACATTATAGACTGCCAAGTACGCTCACCGAGGTTAACAACCAGGCTACAGTCTACATTATAGACTGCCAGTACACTCACCCAGCTTAACCATTGCTACAGTCTACATTACAGACTGCCAGTACACTCACAAAACTTAATAACCATTGCTACAGTCTACATTATAGACTGCCAGTACACTCACCCAGCTTAACCATTGCTACAGTCTACATTACAGACTGCCAGTACACTGACCCAGTTTAATAACCAGATTACAGTCTACATTATAGACTGCCAGTACACTCATCAATCTTAATAACCAGGCTACAGTCTACATTTTGACTGCCAATCCACTCCGATTAAGAATCGGGCTACAGTCTACATTAGTGGATTTTAGTTTTTTTATTCACTTTTTATTATTTTTCTAACTACGTGACTTTACCGAAAGAACCAAAGAATATGAATTCCTGCAGTCACGAAAGTTTTAAGTCAACATTACAATTTCTCCCAATGTTTTTGTACAATTGGAGAATATTTGGTCCACAGATTTCAGTCGAATTGCCCCGGTGCTGACAGGCTTTGATGAATTGTTTTTGGGGCAATGGCTTTCACGTGGCTTATTTCGTCATTCGCATTGTCAATGCCACATTTTTCAAGAATCAAGCAAACAAGCACACAGACATTGAACATTGCCAGTACACCCTACGCAAGCTATAAAAAATTCGGTGTTTTGATGTTGTGTAGGTCACATTTATGAACCTGCAATAACTAGTTATTCAGTGAACCTTTCATAATATGCACTTCATAATTTGAGTTTGCAGTTGGAAAATGTGTTGGCCTGCTGTAGGCAGATTGACATTAGCAAACAACTGAGAGCTCGTCAACAGTATGTGGGCGAGTTACGGCACTCAGTCTACCTCTGGATAATCGGAGCCACAACGGCTGTAAAGTCGTGTTAAATATGAACTTGATAAAAAAAAAACACTTGATAGACGTTAGCAGTTGTTTAATCGTTGTTAAACCATTGTGGTTTTAAAAAAGCACTTAGGGCAGTGTGACCAGATGCATGCAGATGGTGTGCAATGGAGAAACAAGGTGCTCTGTGTGACACACCACGTTCCTTAAGTTTATGCCTCGCGTTCACTGTGCAAGCAACAATTATTCCGGTCCGAGTTTTTTTGCAAATGAGCTACTGGAGTTGTTTACCGCGATAGTTGATAACAGGAAGCACATGTGGTTGAAATGTGCAAACTATGAGTGGTTGAGTCTTCTGTTGCGAACTGCTGTTCGTTCCTGCATTTTACTCCAAGCTACGCAAGTCAATGATTTGAATCATACATTCACTCGAAGCTGCAAGTCATTGATTTGAATTGTACATTCAAAACGAGAGCATTTGTAGATGTGTAGTGTATACGCACTTGTGAGCATGCAATCTTTTTCGAGACCATGACGCTTTTTCTTGTAGAACTTTTTTAAAGTGTCAAGGCACTGGGAGCTTAGTGGCTGTCAGCCTGACGTAGAAAACTATCTGCTAGAAAAATAATGAATTTTTATATGGGAATTCAAGCGTTCAATAAGGGGCATTGCTTTGAATTCTGCTATGCTGGACCATGATGTGCCTTGAAATTGTTGTGTTATGCGTTTGGCCCACCACCGTAACGTTGGGCTTCTAATAAAATTGACTGTCATTGCACAGCGTGTTGTTTTTCAAGTACTTCAAATATTCGATCGTTTATCTACTAAGTATTATTTTTTTCTAAGAATATTTAAAAGATTACCTGGGCTATTCTTGTGCTCTTTGCTCCTTAACCTCCAGTATCACTTGAAAAAGATGAGTGCATCTGAATAGCCACCTCTGGCGAGTTGACATCTCGGTGGCGAGATGTCAACTACCTCGCATGGTCCTGCAGGAGATCGGACCCGACGCCTGTATATTTTTGATGTGCACGTTCTACCCGTGGTCGTGTGGATTTTTATCCAGGTCCTCCGGTTGTTCCCTCCACATTCAGAATCAATGTGGTTAGAGTATTTGGCTCCTATACATTTCCACGTGATAAGCTACTTCGTTGAGCAATAATGTGTGGCCAGATTGCTTCTGAAAAAGAGCTACAACATAGCTCAGTGGGCCTTATCTGGTAAAATAAAAAGTTATGTTTAGTTGACTTAGTTTAGTTTTATTTTGGATTGCTACATGAGGTCTAACTAACAAACAGCCCCTAACTCTTAATTTGCACACACCATAATCAATGTCGGATCAACTTCAAATATCTGGGAGCAATTATCACTGATGGGAAGGCCAAAGGATAGCAACAGTAATCCTTGCAAATATGGATCCCATATGGAAAAGAAATGTTAACACATCAATAAAGATTGAATTCCTTCAGGAATTGAGGTCAGTGGTTTTGTATGCATGTGAAGATGGATTCTACCCGCTAAAGATGAAAAAAACCAGGCTTTTTCAATTATTTTTTTAAAGTAATTATGAATGGAGAGGACACAACTAATTACAATGTATGCGCCACAGTTGCTGCCCAATCAGGACACAAAGGAGTACTTCTATCCGCCATGAAACTAGGAAAACTAAAGTTCTTTTGGTATAGCAATCGATGCAGAAAAGGCCATCCAAAACAATACTACAAAGCACCATCAACATTGAGGGGACTAGAAAAACGGGGTGCTTTAGTAGACGAAGTCAGAACATCGCAAACTGGGCAGGCTTATACCACACCCAGCTGCTTTGTGGGGGTTAAGGATCAGGAAAGGTGGAGGGAGAGATCATGATCAAAGCTGCCAGCGCAGTGCCCCGAAGACCTCATCATCAGACTGGTCATGGGAGACGGATAACGAACGCACAGAATAAAGACCCACAGCAGATAGATTGAGACATAGACCAGAACATCACCATCGCATTTGAATACCACATTCTCCAAAACATGTGCACATGAATGTACACTGTGAATAAAAAAAAACTTGTGTCCAGTTTTAAAACTGCTGGGAATACTTAAAACAGGATGAAAGACATTTATCAAGCGGAAACACCCACGTTCATAATACCTGATTTGCATGTGAAAAAATGTCACTCGTGAAGTCAGAAGGATTTGGGGAATTCCACAAAATAATTGCAGGGTGGTACAGCAATTTTCTGGATTGCTGTTCTGTCTCGTTTGTACTTGGGCTCGTTTGTATGTATCTAATCTAGTGAGACAACCATGGCACTCGGCGAGAAATTACCATCCATTACAAAAGACTTAAAATATATCCAGGACCTGAAACTAAAAACGTTTTATTTTACCAGGTTAAGGCTCACTGCTCTTTTTCAGTAGCGACCTCGCCACAAATGACAGCCCAATGAAGTGGCTAATCGCGTGGAAATTTAAAGCGGCCAAATTCTCTAAACGCATGTTTCTAAATGTAGAGGGGAAAACCGAAGGACCTGGGGAAAAAAATCCACACCGTGGGGAGAACATGAAAACTCTAAATATACAGGCGTCAGGATCGAATGTATGTTGAACTTCTTTCGCACCATACGGAGACAACCGTGCTAATCGTATACTCGGGGAGGTAGTTAACATCTCGCAACCGTGGCGTCGGTGGCGAGATGATCTATCAGGGCGAGGCGGAGGAAGAGGGTGGACAATTTTTCATGGTGACTACGATCTCCAGGCTGCAGATGAAACATCTACCTTTATAAATAAGAGGCACTGTGCACTGACTGAATTCCATAAGTATTCATATTGCCAGGTGGCTTCATGTGTACCCATCCCTTTATGATTCAAATATTTAATTCTGTAGCACTTATTTAACAGAACTGAGAGAGGAAAGATAGCACACAATGACAAGAGATGCAACTGTTCTTTAATTATAATTATAACTTATATTTACCAATTACCACGCGTGTTGTTTACAAGAAGGCTCCGCTTTATTGAATGACACCTCTATACAAACTGGCTTTACTGGACTGCGCGTGGTTTGACGATAATGCAGACCTGTTTGTAATTCCATTAAACGTTTGTGTACACGGCTCTAGCTTCACTGGGATGAAGTCAACACGTTTAAAATATTGTTTTTTTTTTAGACATCCCAGCAGTGCCCAGGTTAACGAATCACTCAGACACCAAGTCACAGGGATTCAGACTCTAAAGTGCCAACTCATGAATATAGTAAATGCGGTGGTGTAATGCTGCTCGGCTCATGTATTGTAAAGTCTCCTTGGGGTGAGAAGCAGCGGTTGCAGCTCCATGCGGGATAAGGTCACCGTGCAGTCGACGAAGTGAATGAGATTCCCGTGGGGTGGGGGCGGTTTTGGTTGAGATCCACCTGGACTTAGAAGAAAGTCTCCCGGCACAAGGGGCATGTGGACTTATTGCTGGACGTGAACCACTTGTACTGCAGCACAGCAAGAGCACACAGGAAAGGGAACGCGCACGCACACACACACGCGCTGTCAGCAATCGTCACCGTCACGTTTCTTTTGCAGAGCGTTTTGCTTAAAGGGCCTCGAAACACAACTAGTCAGCTCTCTTGCGATCCACGCTTCTTAAAGACACCAGCTAAAAAAACAGCTCTTACCGTGCAGATATGTACCCAAGCTGTCCATTGCTAATGTGAAGAAAAATAAAATCACATTAGAGTTAGCTTCGAGTAACTGCAAAAGGGTTCTCTGCTGACATTCCTGCATTGATCTATTAAAGTGTGCGGGTGGGATGCCAACTACAATTGAATTGAATTGATGTCCTCATCATCGACGTCATCCCCAAATGTCACCGTCGGCCCCCACGGACGGTTTTTGTCTCTCCCCCCCCTCTCGTCTCAGTGAACCCCCGCACCCCCTACAAAGATCCCCCGTATAGCCTCAAAAGGCTGTTGGGGCAAGTGCTGTTAGCGAGCACCTATGAAGGCCGGCACGGCACACGGGGGGGGGGAGGGGGGTGGCCAGTATCACGCCCGGCTCCATTTGTCTCCCGAGTGCGATGGTTAGATACCGCACCAGGGACTCATTTAAAACTGAGTTGACCTAGGGGAGCCCCCCAGGACCGGTTCAAATAATCATCACTGGTGTTGGCCGTGAGCGGGATGTGAACTCTGCTCACCGGCTTCATAGCGCAGCGCCCGAACCGCTACACAGCTACTGCTCCCCATACCCCCCCTACCCCCACCCCCCCCAACCCCCACCACTCCAGCCCCGCTCGCACCAGGCACGCCGCGTGGAATTTCTTGCGGCACGTGCGGCAGGCCTTGCGCGGCAGGGAGTAGTTGGAGCCGTGGATGACGGAGTAGCAGATGGTGCACTCCTCCACGCCCTCGAAGCGCTTGTCCACGTTGGCCTTCCACAGCGCCAGCCCGTCCATGATGCTTCCGTTCTGAGGAGGGGGAGGGGGGGTGGAGGATGGTGACGTGGATGGGGCCAAGCTTACGTGTGTAAGCTACAGCGGCTCAGGTGCACGGAGGCCAGGTGGCTCAGAGGTCAGTGGTGAGCTGGCACCGCTGAGGACCCAGTCGCCTGTGAATTAACCAAATTCTCCAGAATGATCTCAAGCCCGGTCAACATTGACTGCACGCAACCATTGCATGCAAATTTGGTTCCGCATTTACATTTCAGCAGTGAGGAATAAAACAAATATTGGTGTCACACTCATACATAGAATCATGACTCTCAGTGGCATAGCAAGTGGGAAAGTGCTGTCCCATACTGTGGACCAAATTTCACTGGAAGCAACCTCAGAAGTAGTTTTGTGATATCCGCTTGCGTGGGCTCTACTCTCACACAAAGGGTTGCACTGCCCAGAGAGAGAGAGAGAGAGAGAGCGACCCAACTGTATACTTGGTGGTGGCGGTTAACACGCTGCTATCGCAACGACGGCCAAGGTGCAACAGCGGTGAGTTGGCAGAGCTGCGGAGTCGCCCCATACCTGGTGAGTGAGGAAAGTGCTCAGCTGTAGCATCCAGTTCCACCACTGTTGGCTGGCGACGCCGACGCGTTTCCCGCACTCCACGGCCACCGGCCCCAGCGGGTGGTTCGGTGGCAGCGTCACCACCAGCTCCATGTACACCTCCTCCACGTTGTACGTGGCCACCACCTCACGGGCCGCGGGCCGCGCGCGAACCTGCGGAAGCAGCGGCGGCGGCCGTGATTATTACTTCCGTTCAATTTAATTCGATCGCGGTTGCCGAGCGCAGGCCTAAAAAGATGGCAAAAATTCCAAGCGGGACAGAAGGAAACTAACCAAGGTAGAAGTGAAAAAAAGGTCGCCTATTTGGATCACGATGCAGACAGCGGTGAGAAGGAAACCGGCACTATTTGGACACGTGTAGGATGGACAGCAACAGGAAGATTTTAAAGTGTGTTGTTTTGAGAATGATGGAAGGAAGCGGAAATAGAGGAAGACCGAAGAGATGATGTCTTGACGACATCACAACAGATTGGTGCCGGAAAGATGTGGCACGACTTGAGCATATTGGCACAAGGCAGGGAAAGTGGAAACAAACGAGGAAACGTGAGTGGTCACCTACGGGGCTATCTGTCCATGGATCGTGACAATGATGAGAAACGAATAACAAACAGCACTCTTAAGGTCGTAATAATATATCTATAAAGAATCGATGTGTTTCTTGAATTGAGCCAAGGTTATGGGAGCTTTGGAAAAAGAGTCGATGGGTGGGAATTCTGAAGCGGAGCAGTGCGAGGAAAGGAGACGGAGTTAGTGTTTCGACCTGCCGTGTGGCGAGTGGGCAACAACGTGGGTGCAGGAATTCACGAGCGAAGTTCAAGCAGAACAGTAAATATTGCGGTGGCAAGAGAAGAGTGATACGGAGGCAGGCGACCCCTCCAGTGAGTGAATTAGTGACTGCAGTGAATCGGTGAGTGCTCGACCATCAATCAATCTGACTACTCGACGTTGCATTCTATCAAGTGGCGTGGGGTGGCGGACCCAGCTGTTACCTAACATGGCAGTAACTGCACTGCTCTGCGAGAAATTCGTACGGAAACACTTCAATTCAATGTACGTTGAACACTCAAAGCAGTTCTAAAGAAATGAGTTTTCAATCGAGATTTAAAGTGCATAAATCCAGTGGCTTCCTAATATTAAAGCGCGCGATGTAGTGACCGTCATTGTTCGACGACGAGCCAAAAGCCGCGACGAGGTTGACCGGAGTTTGCGTCATGATTTATGCTCCTTGACGAGATCCGCCAGGTATTGTGGTTCACTTGTGGCAATGTATTCGTTAGGCAACTTAGCTGTTAGCCAAAAGCTGCGGCGAGGACGTGACTCCGATCGCACAATTGAAATACAAACGGGGGGATGGAAAACAAAGCGTAAAGAAAGAAGCAGCGTGCCGCACGCACCGTCATGTCGTGGATGCGCTGGCCGGTGGCCTGCACGGCGGCTATCTCCTGCGCCGACAGCACGGGGCTGGCGTGGCGGCTCGTGAAGCGCTCCACCACGCCCGACACGCGCTTGTCCTGGTTGTTCCACCAGAGGCGCACCATGGCCGGCAGGCAGCGCAGCGCTTCGGCGTACACGCAGCAAGCCAGGTGCGGCACCTCCACGGGCAGCGCCGCGGCGCCATCGTCTGCGGGAGGGGGACGCGGGGGACGGGACGCGCGGGTGTGCGGCAGGGCCAGGAGAGGCCGCACGGCCGTCGCGCAAGTCGCACGTCAACTACGATAACTAAACTATAAACTAATTTCTTTTATTTGACCAGGTAAGGCCCGCTGAGCTACAGAGCTCTTTTTCAGAAGCGACCTGCCCGCAAATGATAGCTCAACGAAGCGGCTTATCGTCACGTGGAGATTTATAGCAGCCAAATACTCCGAAACGCATGACGTTGGTTCTAAATGTGGAGGGGAAAAACCAGAGGACTCGGAGGAATATCTACACAACCACAGGGAGAACACAATATACAGCAGGCGCCAGGATCGGAATCGAACCCACGCACTCCTGTATACCAGGCGAGGTAGTTAACATCTCGCCGCCTGGCCGATGCCTAAAACCGAGTGCTTTTACCTGAATGTAACCTTTAATCACAATTTAAATGTAACGTAAACCTGACCCTACCACGGATTTTCAAAGTAAATCCAAACCAAGTTGCTGTTGTAAGCCTGAAGTATGACAATCACACACACACATCTAATCTAATTTATATTTATAGACCGTCTTCACTCAAGGCGCTTGACGTAGTTTACAAAACGATGACAGCATGAAATGATGTTATTGGCGGAGGGCGTAACTCGGATTGAGGAATGGGTGACCGCGACAGAGAGGAGAACTTAGGGATCGCGGAAGGGTAGGGGAGGGATGGGAAGGAGTGGAGCGGAGTGGGGAGGAAAGAGGAAGAGAATGGGCAAGAGAGAAGAGGTGGAGCTTTGAGAGAAGAATGGAATGCTTAATGTGCAGGGGCAGTGTTGAGTCTATGGTGCAGCGTTGAGTCTATGGGCAGCGTTGAGTCTATGGGCAGCGTTGAGTCTATGGGCAGCGTTGAGTCTATGGGCAGCGTTGAGTCTATGGGCAGTGTTGAGTCTATGGGCAGCGTTGAGTCTATGGTGCAGTGTTGAGTCTATGGTGCAGTGTTGAGTCTATGGGCAGCGTTGAGTCTATGGGCAGCGTTGAGTCTATGGGCAGCGTTGAGTCTATGGACAGTGTTAAGTCTATGGGCAGTGTTGAGTCTATGGGCAGTGTTGAGTCTATGGGCAGTGTTGAGTCTATGGGCAGCGTTGAGTCTATGGTGCAGCGTTGAGTCGATGGGCAGTGTTGAGTCTATGGTGCAGTGGTGGGTCTATGGTGCAGTGTTGAGTCTATGGGCAGTGTTGAGTCTATGGTGCAGTGTTGAGTCTATGGGCAGTGTTCAGTCTATGGTGCAGCGTTGAGTCGATGGGCAGTGTTGAGTCTATGGTGCAGTGGTGGGTCTATGGTGCAGTGTTGAGTCTATGGTGCAGTGTTGAGTCTATGGGCAGGGTGCACGCAGTCTTGCCCACCTGTGAGTGCCAGTGGCGGAGGCTCCGTGAACATGCTCCGCGTGGCTTTGTCCGTGGCTCCTCCACAGCTTCCGGCGCCGGAGAGAGATGGGGCGGCCGAGGGGAGAGCCGGACTCTCCGGCATGAGCCTGAACAGTCCCTCGAGCAGGCGGCTCAGCGAGCCCTGCTCACGGATGAAGCCCGAGTACTGCACGCGCAGCTGTGCGGGGGATGCGCAGACGCGGGGCGAACAGACGGACAGACGGGACGAGACGTGTGGACTTTAAAACCAAGTAAGTATTCGGCGCCTAGGACCAATTCTATTAGAGTGAGGGCAATGAGCAAGGTTGAGCCTAGACAGTGCGTGCATGGGTGACCACCATGCACAGATTGTAATCGGGCCGTGGGGCTAAGCGGTGGACTGCAGAGGGTTGTGGAGGGAAATCCATTGTTGTACTGTAGTTCTATGCTCCAAAATGCATCCTCTCCACCTTCACCAACCTGCACTGACCAGGGTGGTGAAGTATGGTCAAAAAACCCCATGATCGGAAGGTGTCAAGAGGCCTTCACCCAGTAGTGGACCGACAAAAATGGCCGTATAAGCACATGATGACGATGAGGACAGTGCTGGTAATGTCGACGACGATGATGGTCACGAAAATTACGATGCTCTTGGTCGAGGAAGACACAACCCTAAATCACATCATAGCTCACCTATGTGCTGTCCATCACAAACGTAAACACTAACGAAACATCATTTATCTTTAAAGTCACAGTCAAGCAAATCATTACAGCACTCTCGTGACGTCACTCCGACGTCGCTCCCACACAAGGAGCTCACTCGAGCACACGACATTAGCACACTCGACCGGAACTCTAATTCGATTTTTTGTTTTACTCATTAACAAAGTAACAGGTTTATTCTATACCCATCACCCAGTGACTGAATGAATGAAAAGGCGAGTCCGAGTCCATGGCCTCGCTCTGCTGCTGCGAGGGGTGGGGGAGGAGGGGCGGGGGAGGGGGGGCGGGGGAGCGGGGGTAGTTGGGTGGGGGGGGGTCGCACCTCTGACGAGGCGGCCTGGAAGAAGCTGAGCAGCAGCTTCCAGGCGAGCAGGTAGCCCAGCGTGGTGTGGTACGCGGGCGTCAGCGGCTCCACGCGCACCGGCTCGCCCACCGGCACCGGCGCCAGCAGCTCCAGCAGCTCCTCCTCCAGCGATGCCAGCACGGACATCAGGGCGGCCGGGGGAGACCTAGCGCCGGGCGAGACGTCAGTTTGGGCCCCCCCGCTCGTCGAACTTTATTTCGTTGTGGGTCAAAGGTGAGGTGGCAGTCACGTACTGCTGGGACCGGAGGAACGCCACAGCAATGTTTGTGTCAGTGTTAAGAGTACGGAAGTGGTGGGTGACTTTATTTTGATGGCAACATTTGATTGGTAGAATACTTATGATAATTAGTAATTTACGTTGATTCTTTGTGTATTCTTGCACACCACTACCGATGCAATCATTACATTTTTTTCACCTATACGGTACGTGTTTAATTCAACTGGCTACATCTCTATTGTACGATAGAGCACCTGTAGAACGAGTCACCTGCACAACAGACGTGCCGGATACGAGTTGTCTTGTATACAAGGTAAGTGTTGTCACCCGAATAAAAATCCTTTCAGGGTTTTTTTTTTTATATCATTTGCTAAAATTCACAAGACACAATTCTGGCCACTCGATCGTGCCAGCCACAGGAAAGCCCTCATCACTCACAACTCACGCTACGAGTGAAGTGGCTTCACTGATAAGTCTCGACACACGGCGACAATGTTGGGGAAGAAAGAAACCACTACGGAGGGCGTGCGAGGTCGGACAGGACGATCGTGCGGGCCACTCACAGGCACGACTCCGTCTCCCCCTCGTCTTCCGGCTTTGCTTTCCCGGTGTCAAACGCCGGCAGCTCGGGCATGAGCCTGAGGAACACAAGGCGGCAGACGGCAACACAACTCGGTACCACACACGCCACACACTGGGGCAGTATTAGCAGTCGGCACGCTTGCTACTGCTGGTCCCACATACTATTCAGGGCTTTCATTCATTCCGCTAGATGAAGCTGATTACGTATACATTGCTTCTCATCGTTGTTTGCTGTAATGCACAGCACCTGTGGAGTACCTACTCTTTCCGGAGGGCCAAGTAGGACGTTAAAACTCCGGTTGCGGGCCAAGCATTACCCACACACACACACACACCTCTGTCACTTCTGCCACTGCGAGACACCCTTGCAGTAGCAGAAGTCAGTGAGCACACCAAATTAAAAGCAGAGCACGCAAAAACATTCTGCCCCGAGTATCCGCTTAGTGCAGCTAAGACGCTTGCAGTGAGGGATACATATTGTTCGTAGGCCATTTTTCAGTGGTAGGCCTCTCATGGTTGTGAGCCATGCGAGTGGCGAGACAAATACGAGCCACGGGCAGCAGGTCATTCACCCCCTGACGTGCATAAACAACATTGTGCCGTCATCATTTGCAAAAGCAGGCCACCGTGTACTGGTATAATGACCCAAATCCGTAGCGTGATAATTGTCTGCGGCGAGTTGCAACAGGCTGGAGCCGAGGTACGGCGGTGAGAGCGCGTCGCTATGAACACGATGACCCGAGTTTCTGTGGCGAGTGATATCCGAATCGTTCCTGAGCCTCTCCTTTTCGCCAATAATGCGCACTGAGCAAGGGTGTTGACATGATGGAGAGGCCTGAATCCAGCGGTGGATACTATAACCAACCTGGCAAGCCGGGCCATTAAGCCAGCCACAGTTTTGACTTACGGATTTGACTGTATAAACAAATTCAAGCGTGCACACATGCAGATTCACGTACAAATGGATGCATGCAAACATTAGGCACGCGAGCTCACACTCAAATGCACACACCCTAACGTACGAGTGCTTAAACGCAAAGGGGCATGTTCCAATGAAGCCGTGGCAATTACTCCGGCACACAGACAACATTGCACATCTTCGTCTTTTCCTCCGATTGTACTCCAATTGTGCGATGTCAAGAGGCAAAACAATCCATTTACAACTCTCCGTGGCAGTGCATCATCCCGCGCAAGAAAACGGTCCGTGTATTATCACAGTTGTTCTTGTAACATGTCCTACAAGTGACAACTCATGCACACCAAGTGGCTCGGCAGGAGAGTGAGCGGCGCAAAGTCACGAGGTTGCTTAAATCCCGGTTACATGATAAAAAATAGTTCAGTTTTATTATTAGTTTCGTTTGTGATTTGCTTAGCTTTTATATACTTTGCACTCTCATCGTGTTTGTTGTTGTAACTTTCTGACCGGCCCTACTGGACATCTGTGAAAAAGAGCTTCACAGCTCATCGGATTCCTCCAGTATGAATAAAGATTCTGATTCTGAACTCAGCCCATCGTTCCATTGGGGGTCGAACGATTGAGTCCACAGTGAATATCCTATGGACAGACTCACTCAGTCGTAGGAAATTCCCTCCCATTGGCTCAGGGTGAGCGCTGCTTAGATGTCTAATCAAGCTGGCAACCACTTTTTAAACTGATTTTGTTATTTACCAGGTAAGGCCCACTGAGCTATATAGCTCCTTTTCAGAAGCGACCTGGCCACAAATGAAAGCGCAATGAAGTGGCTTAAGTGGACATTTATAGCAGCCAAATAATATAAATAATCTAAATGCATGTTTCTAAATGTGGCGGGAAAAAACGGAGAAAAATCCATGCGACCGTGGGGAGAGAGAGAACATGCAAACTCCAAATATACAGCAGGTGTCAGGGTCGGGATCGAACCCATAACCTCCTGCATACCAGGCGAGGGAGTTAACTCTAGATTTGAAGCTTTCGTGACTGCAAGGATTCATATTGTTAGGTTTTTTCGGTAAAGTCACGTAGGTAAAAAATAAAAATTAATAAAAGTTAAATAAAAATAAAATAAAAATCACGACGTTTCGGAGGCAACACAAGCTTCCGTCTTCAGGTGGAACCGTCACAGCACGATAGCTGTATCAAGTAAGAGAAATTCCAAGAAAACAGTCCTTGTATATATACTGGTTGAGGGTGGGAGGAGCCAAGGCAGGCACCTGGACATTATTATTGTGAGGTTCGGTGCGGCTGAAGCACGCTGCTAGAGGGAGTTAACATCTCCTAGCCACCGTGGCGCCCACTTTGAAGGGGGGGGGCACCCGGCTTGCTTGCGCAGCTCGTGGCGGCGAGCCTCCTCACTTGTCGAGCATGTGGAAGGCGGCGAGCTGGACGGGCCTCGCGGGCGCGCCCAGCAGGGGCGCCAGCGTGTTGAGGGCCGTCTGCAGCGCGTCCGGCAGGTGGCTCCGCTGCCCGGCCACTAGGCGTGGTGGCAGTCGGTGTCCGTGCAACTGCTCCACAGGGATGGGGCCCAGGGCCTGCGCCGTGGCCTGCAGCAGAGCCAGGCAAGGCCTGCCGGGGCCGGTGCCAGCCGTGCCCACCGCGCCAGCTGCACACGCACGAAGATGGACAACCCCACCCCCCGTTGTGTATCCAATGCAATCGTCCAGCCATCTGCATTCTATCGTCCGCAAGTGTTTTAGATTTGTGTTTGAGCATCACTGGTAATGGAAGCGATACATTTTCTGCTTCACTTCAGGTCATCATCATCTGGAATGGTCAATCCACAGCTAGATGAAGCCCTCCGCAAGCGGTCATCCTGAAACGTATCAATCCACCTGGCGTCTACACACACAAGCCGATTTGTTCATCGGTCCATATCTCTGCAGTGGACATCTTGTCGGACGCGTTCCACTCCTCGGCTGCCACTCCGTTATCATTCTTGGCCATCGGCCATCGTCTCCCCATGCGGCGTGTACTACCCAGGCCCACTCATAACTACGTCATTAAGCTGCAGTACATTCTCAAATGAACATATTCCTATTTCTCTCTCTCTCAATATAATTCCAGGCTTGCAAGGTGGGGAGGGGTGGGGCGGGGAATGATGCGTACCGCACAGGGACACAAACGCGGGCAGCAGCAAGCTGTAGGCTCCGTCCGCGAAGAACTCTGCCCACTCGGTGAAGAGGTGAGGAGGCACCGTAGCGGAAGCCTCCTCCGGATCCACGCTCTCCGGCGGTGGCGCTGAGGCTGCGACAGCGCCGGGCGGAGGCGCCTGCAGGAGGTCGGCCACCGATGCCAGCAGGCGGCAGCTCTCGGCCGCAAAAGCGAGCACGTGCAGCGACGCTCGTCGCGCGTCCCCCAGGCTCTCGCCTGTGCTCTGCGCAGTGGGGGGGTGGGGGGGAGAGGCAACACAGCACAGGGGTCGCGGTGACACTGCGGTTACTACCTGTCCCGATCAACACACCCACACTATTAGCCCTTTTCCGTTTCAATGACGTACACATGGTGTACATCATCAAAACGAAACCGTAAGAAAAATATAAATTAAATTACTTAACCAGAACCGAGGCTCTGACAAGGCAATGCGGGAGGGAGTGAGGCACAGTTTGGCGCCAGTTATCCTAGAGTGCGGTCGTGTCCCTACAGTTCTTTGCGGCGAGTACAACGTCTTTAAAAACGACGGCGCTACGCCTCTCTAAACAAAACAAACGCTGAGCCGCTCGCGCGTTCAGAGATTCAGAGGCCAATGGGACCCCCACCCTGCAGCTTGCCGATGTAAGGGAAAGGCTCAACCGGGGCGGCCCCGGGGACTTGAGCCGCGGGGGATCGAAGCGCGGACCTCGGGGACGAGCGGCAAAAACGCGCCACGTCTCGTCGGTGCCACCCGCGACATCGCGAAACGCGACCCCCCCCCGCCCACTGGCCATCGCGCGCTCCGCACGAACCTGCAGCCACGAGAGCATGGAGCACAGCAGGAAGTCCCAGTGGCGGTGCGAGAGCGGCGAGTGCGCAAACAGGAGCCCGCGCAGAAACCGCATCATCTCCACGTTGCACGCCACCGCCGCCCCGTCCTCGCCCGACACATCCCTGCCGCGCGGGCAGACACAAAGGCAAAGACCGTTTGCCACCCGCCCCACTGTGTGCTGTACCACAGCCTTCAGCACTTGTCCCAGGGGAACTTTGTGTTTGTCGTCATGTGCGATTGCTGTGTGTGTCTGCGTATGCATCTGCGTAACACTGATGGGTATGAGACTACGGTGTGTCTGTCTGCGTGATGGTTGGCTCTGACCGTGCGAACAGGAAGACGTCGTCGCTCTCCTCATCCCTCCAGGCAGAAAGCGTGTCCAGCGCCCTGTGCAGGCCGTCCGTGGGGAGCTCAGGCTGTGACAGGAGGCACACTGACAGCAGGGAAAGGCAGCCACGGGCCCCTGCAACACAAACGCATGGGACGCAAACAGCCCGCCCCCCAAAACCAAGTCTCAGAGGGCCGTAGGGATACGTTGCCATCAGTGATGGCCTACTAAGGCTGGCACGGCACGTGGCGGTGGGGCTGGCATCACGCAGGCTCGGCCACTTGAAGCACTCCCACTGCTGGCGTCGTTAAACGCACACCGATGACATTTTGTGCAAGGCTATGTTAACCTGGGGGAAAAGCCCAACCCGGCACAGGCACCACGCGACCTTGGCGTTGTGCATCGCCGAAAGACCCCCAAAAACCCTGGTGGCAAAGTGTCAGAATGACTGACCCCACTCGTGGTGAGTCCATTGATCTAGGAGAAGAAGAAACTGCCCACCTGTCTGTTTCCCAATTTGTCCCTAACATTTTGTTCTGCCTGTTGCCTGTATGCATCCCCTGCATCTGTTTACTTGTCTGACTGCCTGCCTATTCGTCTGTCTGCCTGCCTGTCTTTACGAATTTCTGTCTGTCAGGTCTCTACCTGTCCGTCTTGTCTCTAGCTGTCTGTCCTGTCTCTACCTGTCTTATGCCTTCCTACCTGACTGTCTGCCTGCCCATTCATGTGTCCGTCTTGCCGTCTGTCTGTCTGTCCGTCCATCCATCCGTCCGTCCATCTGTCCGTCCACCTGTACGTCTGTCTGTCCGTCTGTCCGCCTGTCCACCCGTCCGTCCGCACGCCGATCCGCGGACATGCCTTGAGCACGGGTGCGAGCGTCCGGCGGGCAGGACATGAGCAGGGCGGTGGCGACGTCCACGAGCGCGTGCGCGTCTGAGCGCGACAGGAACGGAGCGAGTGCCCACGCCGTGTGCAGCTTGGCCTCCGTGGGCTCCGAGAACCTGCGGCGGTGATGGAGCAGCAGCAGCAGCAGCAGCAGCAGCAAGCGCAGCGCGACGGCAGTCACCGTACAGGACAAATACACAAGGATCCTCCCTATAGCCCTAACAGACTGTTGGGGCAAGTGCCGTTAGCGAGTAGCAGCTATGACTGCCGGCACGGCAAACGAGGGGGTGGGTGACCAGCACCGTCCCCAGTCGCCTTTGTCTCCCCAGTGGCGATGTTTACACACCGCATCGGGTACTCATTCGAGGCCGAGTCGCACAGCGCCAACAAGGAAGACGGCACCGGCGGTCCAAACGTGACACCGTTCGAATGAGACACAGAGAGGTGACGACAGAGAGGCGACAGACGAATACAAATAGGAGAAATGGCACAAGACAGTACAAAGAGTACATAGGATGCGCACTGCAAATGAGGAAGTATAAAGGAGACAGGCAGTACGAATGCAATAGTAAGGAGAGAGAGGAGCACTGAGACACAGTACAACACAATAAAAGCGGTACAAACAAGACAGTAAAAACAGCACATGCAAGACACAGTGCTGGTGAGGTAGTACAAAGAAGACAGAAAGTACAACTGAAACGGTGATAGTATCACCGAGTTCATAGTACAAGCAAGACAGTACACACGACACACAGCACAAGGGAGACGGTACAAGCAGTACACACGACACACAGCACAGGGGAGACGGTACAGAGGAGTCGGTAAAGGGCGGTGGGTAGAGCCCGGCGCGGGTGCATCGCGTCGTACCACTCGACGGATCCGTAGAGGGCCTTCACGTCCGTGTCGAGGCCTCGCCTGGAGGCTTCAGGCAGCGCGTGGGACAGGGCGAGGGCCCACAGGCCCCCGTGCTGCACGGATCTGTGCGGCCGCACGCGAGATAGAGACAGAGAGAGAAACAGAGGTCACATTACTTATTAAAAGGTAAAATCGAATGACCAAATCACCGAGAATGCGCCCCATCTTATCAGATCCTGGAAGCCAAGCAGGATTTTAGCCTGAGCTTGCATGGGCAACCTCCATGCACAGCAAATTGTTAAAGGCTGCTTGCAGGGCTATGTGCGTGGGCAGCAGAGGGTAGTGTCAGCGTTAACTCTGCAAATGGTCAAGAATGAAATAAAAAAGGCAAAATATCTCTGTAAATTCAGATTTTTATTCTGTGACATGGCGCTGTGCACAGGTTTACCTTGCGTTACGCGGGAGTAGTCGATGCGTTCCACAAAACCGAGTCAGCTACCTCGCCGCATGTCGAGTGAATTCAAATGACAAAGAGCGAATTTTGTGCAGAAGTATTGTTAGCCGCATATACGCGGAACCGCACAAAGCGAACTTACACGAGTACGCCACGGAGACCTATGGTCAGTGTTCACATTTCGCTGAAACAGGCTCTGGCCCCAGGTGAAACTTCTGGACACGCACGCCCTGGCGCAGCGGGCACAAAGCGTGCTTTACTTGCGCCTCTAACGACTGATCGGTGCGTTAACGAATTGTGAACTGCATTATCCACCTACAGGGTCACCTGTCATCCCTCCCGCTGTCCCGTCGTGCCCGTCACCTGTTAAAGAGCTCCCCGAGCAACTGGCTGAGCGCGAGCGGTGGGTCAGCGGCAGGCGTGGACGGCGTGGACGGAGTGGGCGCCGCGCCCACGAGCCCCCAGCAGAGGGCACCGACGCAGGGCGGAAGGGAAGGCCCGGCTGGGCCGGAGCGACTCAGCCGGCACCACGTGTCCGCCAGCATGCACTCGCACGCAAGCTCCAGGCAGCACGCGGGGTCTGCGCGCAAACGGTGGGGGACCACGGTGGCGAGATGTTAACTCCCTCGCCTTCTATGCAGGAGGTCATGGGTTTGGTCCCGACCGTGACGTCTGTTGTATATTGTCGCGCGGATTTTTCTCAGGTTCCTCCGGTTTTTCTCCCCCCACATTTAGAAGCACGCGTTTAGAGTATTTGGCTCTTATAAATATCCACGTGATAAGCCACTTCGTTGAGCTATCATTTGTGGCCAGATCGCTTCTGAAAAAGTGCTACATAGCTCAGTGGGCCTTATCTGGTAAAATAAAAAGTTATGTTTAGTTGACTTAGTTTAGTTTTAGTTTATTTTGGAATGCTACATGAGGCCTAACTAACAAACAGCCCCTAACTCTTAATTTGCACACACCATACTCAATGTCGGATGAACTTAAAATATCTGGGAGCAATTATCACGGATGGGAAGGCCAAAGAATAGCAACAGTAATCCTTGTAGCTCAGTGGGCCTTACCTGGTCAAATAAAATAAGTATAACCCGTAAAAACAAAGTTTTTCACTATAAATCCTTTATATGCGTGGCAGCGAACTTAATATAAAGGATTTAAAAATATATTCGCCTGTGGAGGACGCGGGGATCGATCCCGCGACCTTTGGCATGGGAAGCGAGGGCGCTACCAACTGCGCTACTCCGCCACGGCCTGTGGAGGGGTTACGCTCTGGTCTCTTATACTGTGACGTTCAGCCAAAGCCAAGAATGAGTTCTTTTGAATATATGTAAAATATTTTTTTTTTGCCTAAAAAGTGTACATTTTGGGAACATTAATTGTCTGGCACAACGAGTCTGTGTGGAAAATGTCAGCTCGATTGGATCACAGGAAGTGGGTTAAAAAACGACCGAAAGATTTGCACGGTCCTAAGCAAGCAAGCAAGCACGCAAGCAAGCAAGCGAACTTAATATAAAGGATTTAAAAATAGTTGAGAGTTTAAACAGAAGTGTTGCCCGTGCAACCTTTAACGGCCTGGCAGGGGCAAGTGCTGTCGGTGAGCACCTGCGGTGACGTCATGGACCACGAAGCATTCGTCTCTGATGATTATACACAGCGCCAGCTACGTAGAGGTGGCCCACAGCTGATTCAGATATCGCTTGGGGAAGACGTTATTAACAACACACTGCTTTGAAACCCACCTCGAATGATCGAGCGTGATCATTATTGTCGTGGCTTGGTTCACATTGGTTTACATCCACGATTGCCATCCACTCGACACTGTTTTGATACTTAAAATAATCAACATCCTTTAACCAGGCAAAAACCACCGTGTGACCTTTATTACTCATACAAACAAGATTTGTAAAACATTAGCTACAATCTGAGGTGTTCTTGAACGTGGTTTACAGCGACAATTGTATTGCCTTTTGACCTAATTACCTGGAATGTGCCCATCTCCTCAGACCTCGGAAACAAAGCAGCAAAATTGAGCCTGGATAGTGCTTCAACGGGGCACCAACCGTGCATAGCGGGCGTTATTGGCTGCTGCGTGGCTACGTGGCCAGCAGCAGAGGGCAGTGCAGATTCATATATAGTTGGACTGTACTTCTATGCTCCGACATCTGCTTCACCAAGCCACACTGACCCTCGCAGTAGAGTACGATTCAATAAGCCTCTCCCACGACTCGCATGGCGTGGGGAGGGGCCCTCATCCAGCAGTGGATCCAACAACGCAGCATGGGCGTGCGCTGCCGTGCGCCGCCGTGCGCCGCCATGCGCCGCCATGTGCCGCCGTGCGCCTCTGCCGGGCAAAGCAAGGGGGAACTTGCGCTGCAGCAGAGGCACGGTCTGCCCGCCGCCAATGGTGAAACTTCGCGCGGAAACATTTTTAAAAGCGCTTAGCGCTCACGCTCTGGAATCGCTCCTGCTAAACAGATAACCCTCCCGCGGCTCCGGTCCCAGCGTCTTCGCCTAAGCCGCTACTCCGGTGGGCGGGCGGGCGGGCGACTTCCCGGTGTCGTTTTGCACATCTTCGAAATAAATCAGCGCCGCATGCTTCCCTGGGTCGTCCCCCCACCCCGTAGAAAGGCGGCTGGTGATTTAGAGTTCCCTTAAAAGGCGACCCCCCCCCCCCCCCAGCCCTATTTGTAAGCGCAAACATAACGGCCGAGAAACCCTGGGATGTCCCCCCTTTGTGCGAGATCCGTGCGCCGTCGTTCATACATCACCGGCGTACAGAGGCACTCGAGAGTTATCCTTCACTGCGCTAGGCAATCGCCACTAACGACTCGTGTGTGTGTGTGTGTGCGTGCCACTGCCGCGTACAGTTCGAGTGGTACCTATCACCCCTTAACCTAATTCTAACCCCCGATGGCGACTCCTCACCCGTTCTCGTACTCCTACCACCAACTCTGAGCATCACTCTAAAACTAACTGCTAATCTCTAAACGGACCCCTGCGCATATTCCGCAAAACCCAAATTATTGTTTTTTCAGCGTGCCATCGTTGTACATTCACGTGCCATTTATAGTCCGCAATTCTAGATCAAAAGTTCTCGTTAAAATACAACTTTGTTCCTATGCAATAACCTTAAGGGGAATCCCACAACGCTTTCTGAATGGCATTTCTGCACAGCCCACCGCGGGCACCGACCGATAAAACCATCAACGCTTGCTGACCGGCCATTAAGATGTGAGCGTCGTAACGGAGACCCGTCTCTGCAGAGGCATTAAGTGAGATGGGGCATCGCAGTGCACCGCTGGGCCATAAACCCTACACATCATTGGTTAAACAGGAATACGGCCGATTATTTTTTATTATATCCCGAAGTAGACTAAAGGGATTTCTCGAAAGCGGAATGTCTTCCTGTTCACGAGACAATTATAACGGAGGTAAATCGCTCGTCCCCTTAGAACACGTGTTTTAAAAGAAGATCTGCACAGCGGAAATGTTTATTAATTCAGGAGAGAACTGCACGCTTGTCACTGTGATTTGATCGCAATATTTAACAAATTATTTTTCCTCCCTCCCTCCCGGCTCTGCCAATTTTCTGAGCCAAATTCAATTCTCTGACGTGCGGAGGCGTAGGGTTCGGCGCGTGCGAACTCTGCGTTTCACACCAAGAAAAGGGACCAAAAAATGCGGAATAACAATATAAAGTAGAAAAAATGCAGTATAAATCAGAATGAAACATGATGTTCATGATTACCGGGTAATAAGCGAGCCCCATAGGATGAAAACGAAGGGAGTGAGAGCGAAGACAGACGGGTTACATGGCCAGAACAAAAGGGAGCAGTGGTGCAGGAAAGGGGGCGGCAGTGATGAAAACGGGTGGCAATGGGGAAAGGAGTGGGTGATGAAGAGGGCGACTGTCTGGAGAGCTAGCATCCATTTAACAATGGGAGTCAGTGTGGAAAGAGGGCATCAATAAAGGGGCATACGATGGACAAGGGGGCGGCAGTGACGATCGAGAAAGGGCCATTGTAAAAGGAGCCTGTATGTGTGTGCGTATAACTTATTTTGCACCGTACATTGCCAACCGTGCTAATCGGAGGTGCGGGGGGGGTAAGGACAACAAATTAAACATAAAAGAGCAGTTCTTAAGAAATGAGTTTTCAATCTAGATGATTTAAAGGTGCATCGCTCCAGTGCCTTCTTAATATCGGAAAGAAGAGCGTTCCAGATGGAAGCACGCGATGCGGTGACCGTCTTTGTTCGATGGCCAGCCAAACGCCGCCGCTGCGAGGACGCTGACCGGAGCTCGTGTGATGGTTTATGCCCCGTGATTACATCAGCGAGGTGCCGTGATCCATTTTGCGACAAGCACTTCGTGTGTACCGAATGCGAACCTATCACGTATTCATACTCTTTGGTTTTTTCGGAAAAGTCACGTAGGTAAAAAATGTAAATAAATTCAATCACGACGTTTCAGGCGCAACACAAGCGTCCATCTTCAGTGGGGATAACTTAGCGAAAGTACAACCGCTTAAGTGTGAATTTAATTCATTTACATTTTTCACCTACGTGACTTTACCGAACAAACCAAAGAGCACGAATCCTTGCAGTCGCGAAAACTTCAAATCTAGAATTATCACGCGATTCATTCGGGCAACCGGCTGCAGTGGAGAGGCAGGGGCCGGCAGCCGCAGGTGCCAGCTCCTTGGCGAAGATAAACAAATCCACTGGCACAAGGGTGGCCTCTGCAACGCGGTCAACCTGCACAATTCATCACGGACCCTCCCTCCCCCCCAAACTTCCCGGCTCAAAAAAAAACACTTCACCGATAAGAGCTATGGGTCCCCGGTCACAGAGTCGGCGAAGCTCAAGGGCCGAACGCCAACGCTGTTCGGCGTGCTTGCGTTCGGTTCTTCCCCGGCTTGAGCAGCGACGTCAGCGGTATCGCTGTCGTGCGGGGAGGCAGTGCCACTGACATGGGGGGATCACGGGCCAGAGGGGTCTGGGTTCTAAGGCAATGAATAGGGCCCCCCCCCCACTTACCACCCCGCACTTATCCCTCCCCGCTCCCCCCGCCGTGCATTTCAGAAGTTCGCGTGATGGTTTATGCTCCCCGACGAGATCAGAAAGGGATTGTGGTTCACTTGTGGCAAGCGCTTTGTGTGAACTTCCAAAATATTCGTTCAGCTAAGCCACTGACAGGAGCATAGATGGGCAGGTGTGTGTGCCAGCGTGTGCCAGCATGTGCCAGCGTGTGCCAGCGTGTGCCAGCGTGTGCCAGCGTGTTGGTACATACATGTAAATAAAACGCACACGCGCATGCTGGAGTGATTTTAAATTGCACATATGGGACATCGGAAATGAATGTTTTCTCTGTGGTGCATAAACTGCCTACGACCAAAAATCACCTGGGATGCGCCCGATCGAATCAGATCTAGGAGAACGTATCATTGTTGAGCCTGCACAGTGCTGGGTGATCACAATGCACGCCAGGTGACTCGTGCTGCTCCCCACTTTCACCAAACCCGCACTGACCAGCGTGGTGAAGTATGGTCAAATAACATCATGATCCGCATGGCATGG